AGATTAGTCGTACTTGTTTTTTGTTGTAAAAATAAGTTATTACAGTATTTACGTTAATTAGCTCATAAATCGAATTACTAGCACTCATAAATAAACCTAATAAGAACCTTTTCGGATTTAACAGCACCAAAGCTTAAAGCCAAAATCCAGGTTATCAGTTATGTTGACTAATGATAGTAAGGGTATGCATAACGACCCGTTGGAAAGTAATTGGCTATATTTATCAATGTATATAGTGATTAATTATTTTCCGAGGAAACGTTTGAACTATTAATATTTGTATTCGTATGATAAAAGGTATAGACATCCAATCAGTTAAATGTACAGACGGAATTCGCGGCTAAAACCTCAATTAAGAGTTTTTCGATATTTTTTATTTGTAAGTTATAAAAAATTTATATTTTTAGGCGAGTCCGAATTCTGATGTACGGTTGATTTGAAAATGTTCAATTATGTAAACGAGTTTCAAATTCGATCAATCCATATTTATTTAATAATATACATTATCAACACATAATTACCAAAACCTGGCTGTATTGATTTGTTTGCATTGTCGAGAATTGTAATAAAAAAATAATATTTAAAAAAAGGGAAATCGGATGAAGTAACCATTATTTTCATTTATCTAAAGAAAACACTTTACCAGTATTATTGAAAAAAAAAAATTACTGTTTAAACGAATCAGTGGTACATGCTCACTGCCGTGCGTATGTATTATGCAATATTTTCATTACTGCTTTGCTCGTCGGTAACATAGGTAACGTTGTGATTTATAATCGAAAACTGCCCACGGTTTTATCATAAACCTACGGTGGAAGCCGCAGAACATTTTATTTAGCTTCTTTAAAGTTATGACTTCTAAATGCACGCATGTACTCGACTAATGAAATTCTCTCTTTGCCGTTAAGGGTGAAAAAGTGTATTACAAGTTATAACCAATATAAGACTAAATTAATCAATTCAATCAAGTTGAATTTTTATGATAATTTTATTAAGTAATTTTCGTGTATCATATTTTGTTTATTTTCAATAAATTATTTTTACTTCAAACACTAATGCAATAAGGTGTTGAGAAACAATTAACAAAACAGATTATTAATAATTTTTTTTTAGTCACCCGTTACCATCTGTATATGTACATAATACATATACAATTATAATACTGTACCGGTATTACACATCTATCAATTTCCCATGGACTGTTTAGTTGTAAATTAATCGTCAAAAGTTTTACATTATCTAACCTCTATTCTAGCTTGCTACCCGACTTGCGAAACACTTGCACCACTTTGTGGTTATTAACGATTAGGAAATTCTGTAACATCCCCTCCTGACCTCTGAAATGTTTCGCATTATTGGCGACAACCACCGACATGTTCGAGAGGTCATGGCGCCAGCCAGCAAGATGAATACTCGGGGCTTCATTGAGCGACCTTATGCACAATTAATACCCAAATTCGCACAACACAAAGTGGTGTCGGTCGAGTTCGTGAATAATATTACATTATTAAAGTAGATGATGAAAACATAACATTTAAAGTTGCGTCTTTTTTTGTTCAAAAACCTTATCTTAAAAACCAATATCTTACATCAGGTCTATCTGCGGATGAGCCGAGAGACTTTGTAATAATATTATGAATTGAAAACCAAAAATTGAGCGGTGTGGAAACAATAAACATATAATATCATTAAGTCGTTATTTTTATTGTATTAACTGCTCTTAATAAAAGTGCGTAAAATTAGTATCAGGTGACCGATCCTTCAGGAAACTATTTTTAACCTTATAGGTTGGTCCAGATTAGCTCCTTCTGTTTGTCATTTTTAGATCCGCGCCAGTCTTTCATGTCCCTAACACTAAAAATAGTTTTTGTAAGCAGTTTACTTATGACACGGCGCTTTGTATATGCAATTTTGGTACATACGTGTACCATAACACTAGTTTATTAGCATAATTATTTACTTATACAAAAACATTGCACTTGTGCTTCCTTGTATAGTGTTACAATATGTAATACACAATGAATCGATTAAAATATTATTAAACATACTATTTATATACTGTAATTCAGTTAGGCTAAAATATTAAAAAAAAAAAAAATTACTCATGCCTGATTGGTAAAAACAAAAATCATATTTCCCTTGATTTATTTTAATACCTTGAGCATAAAACATATTATTATCGAGCGAATTTTTTCATCGTAAAGTTATTTACATAATATTAAAAAAATAAAATTATTTAGCCATCATTTCGTATTATGAAATAGCCATTATCAAACACACATAAATTAACTGTTAAATTTGCCAACAATTGAATATATTTTCTCTTCCAAAACTCGATTGTACTTAAAATAATAATTTACATACTATCTATATTCGATATACTCAGGCCTCTATCACAAAGTTGAAAATGTTGTTATAATTCATTATATTAAAAAAAAACATAATAACATTTATCCAATTATGTCTTTAATTTACAAAGTTATGCGTAAAAATAGCTTAAAAATACATAGAGGTCGATTTGATAACGTCATTTTTTGGTAAACTTATTGAAAATCTGTTAAAAGTATATTTTGCTACTTAATATAGCAGTATCTTTTTTTAAATTGTATAGCTCGCATTGTATCCAACAGCAAACTATTTAGTTTGGTAAACAATGCGTATCAATTGTAACTTCTATAAGGGAATTTGCATTTAAATTTGAAAATATAGTACTTTTTTCGACCGAATAAACTTTTGAAGTACTTACAAAGTACCACAACGAAAAAATTGTAAATCTTTCAAGTTTGGATGTACAACTGTTTAGTATAATACGGAAATATTTTATACGATGAGTTCAATTTACTATGAAACGAAACTACTTTTGTGGAAAAAAAAACTTGTTCGATCATTCTACATACTAAGTAAAGCAATATCCGGATCGGATGCGTTATATTTTCTTGAATGTTTGCACGACAATATTTATAGTGTTTTTGTTTTTCACATTTTAGTTCTACTTCGTTATTACTATCGTCATGCATTTTGTTTTTATAGAAAACCATACAAGAGTCAAGACACCTAAACACCGATGTGAACAGTTAGTATTTTTTACAGTGTAAATATTACAAGTGGAATTATTAACTTTCAGAGATATTTCCCAGGGTAAAAAAATTCAGCTAAAAAATGTTATTTTATTCTACCAAATGGCCATATATTATAATATTATTATGTACTTTTTATAAATATTATATTTTACTTAGTTTCCGTGTAATTATTCCGTATTATTATAATTTCCAACCGTAAACAACTTTAGCGATGAGACTGTCAGAACTAAAAACATTAAACTTTAAAGAGAGATTTGTTTTAATTCGAAACATCTTTGGCGGCAAGGGGTCCTTTTACGCTTTCCGCATCACATATATAATATGGATTTATGTAGTATATTTAAGACCTGATGGCACCGTTCAAGTTGAAACTTGATAAGTAATATAACATAACATGCTGTTTACGGAGCTGAAATGGTTTTTCATTCGTGTTTTTATTACTTTGATCCACGATCACTTCACCCAAAGATCAAATTCTTCATGTTGTCAGGTAATAGATCAGAAATCGTTAATAAAAAATATATACTTAGTAAGGTAATAAGTTGAAATTTTATCATGCCAGTTAGAATCCTGGCAAAGTTTACCATTGGTCTTATGTTGTAAGTTGTTTTATTCTCTACCATTGAATAAATCTTATACAATTTCATATTGTATACACCATATAATAAAAATGACTTCACCCCTTATCGACTAAATAATTTTTTTTTTCAATAACATATTTTTATGTGTAAGCAATCTGAATTTAATACCTATTCGCAGTACTATTTAATAAGGTGGAGCCAAACAGGCTATATTTTTACTACAACAGGCTATATTTTCAGTATGCCTTAAACGCTAAAGGATTTGCTTTTAAAAATATAAAAGAAACCTTTTAACTTCCCTTTTGTGAGAAATCTTGACGGATTGTAATAAATTCACCGCTTATAACAAAGTTAGGTTGCCCATTAAGTGTCCCATAAAATATTTTATACCATCTGATTAATTAACATTTGAATACAAAATGTTGTAGATAAAAATTAAACCTTTACTATCAGTATAGCTTAACATCGCTTTATATTGTTTAACAATAACTTCTAAAAGTAAGAAGAACAAACAAAGTTCTCTTCCGAGTGAGGAGTTCTTAAATTATTTCCTGACTGTCGGTTGATAAAGTATTACCTTATAAATAACCCACTAATATTATATCTTTGGGCGATAACTTAACATGAATCCAGAAATCGTACTTGAAAGGTACTTTATTAGCCCACCCAAAAATTAAAAAAAATCACCTCTTCCCCTTCAAAATCCTGAAAAACACCCAAAAGTTCATATTTTTCAACTTAAAATTACAATGCTCTAAAACATTTTTAAAAATAGTTGCATTAGTTCCAAATGTATATAGAATATTCTTTAACATAGTACTAGCGATAAACACTGACAAACCTAAAAATATCATAAGCCCTTATCCCATAAAAGGGATAGACGTTTTTCTTTATTCCACTTTTCCAAGCAGTCTTAGGGATTTAGGTCTAAAACTTTTACCGAAGATCTAGAACGGAACTACTGACGTACACAATTTTTTCAAAAATCTATACCCAAATTTTTTTTTATCAAAGGAAACCCCCTAAAAAAGGGGAAAATTACACTTTGACCGTAGTCAATTTTCAGGTTTCTATGTGTGGGGGGTACATCAACAGTCAACAGGTACCTAATGAAAAAATTATCATTATATTAATAATTACGACATGTGAATAACTATGGCAATACATTTTTATAGACAGACGATCAACTCTAATCGGGTCCATCCTAATGCTAAAAATTAATTTTCAAGATCATAACTGTTTATATTAGCGTTCCGAGCATATCGTTATCGGTTTGATAATTCGTATGGAAGTTTGAAATCCGTTTTAATAATATTTATATATTTTATAGTGTACTTACGAGGTCGTCCATAGCGTCCACGTGGTCTATAAAATTCCGGGCGATTTTTTTTTTTTAATTTTAACGAGCGACCGAAATGGAATTTATTCGGTTTCAACGTTATGAATGCGAGGTGTAAATGTATTTTGAATAAATAAAAAACTTTTTATCTTGCACGCGGATATACTATATTCCGAGCAATATTTTTTTTTTTTTTTTAATAATTTTTAGAAAACAAAAAACTGTCGACAAGTATAACGGCAGACTAGATTGAAGCGAACAACGTTGAGCGCACTCGAGATTTGGCGGGTATAATGATACTGACTACAACTACTGCGGGACGACACGCTCTCATCGGCCGAAGTTCATCGTACACGAACGTCTCTTACCTACACACCGGACGCCACCCTCTACCCTTCTTAACATTGCCCCACCCTTCTTTCTGGTACATTCAGAATTTTTCGAAATGAAAATGTGAAATTAATTTTCCATACAAACGAATAGCTTAGTTTATACGTAAAATATATTTAAATAATGCCCAGGATTGAAAAAAGTTATTATGTATATAAAACTGTAATACGACTTTCTCTTTATCTCTGTTTGGTGAAGTGAGCTTACAACACTTCTTAAAAAACTTTTTTTTATAAAGAAAATACCAAAAAAAAAAGAGGAAAATTGTACTTTAACCGATGTACATGTCCACTATACTAATTTATAATTAAGCTTGATTTATACTGTACTAGTTTGGACTGAACAGGCATAAATTGTGCTTGGTTTGAACTGAACTGGTTAAGATGGATCTAGATTTTTTATATTTTAACCTGAACCCACGAAATGGCTTAAACCTTACTGTTTGGTATTTTTATCAGATAACTATTCACATTATTCGAATTATTGTGTAGTAAAAAAAAGAGGCTACTTGTATAGCGTTTTATTATATTGTAGTTGTTTTTATATGGATAAGTGTTTTAAAAAATAAAATAAAATTGTCGTCACCAATTACAAATATCTCAAGTATTAGCCGGTAACGTTTTATGTTTCACACAACTGTTTTATGGCATGCAAGGGAAAATTTGCAAGTTCACCGTAAATAACTTTATTTTAAAATATATCCATTTTAAATTTCAGTATACAATTTTTTTGTCTAAATAGAATGTCGGACAAAGTGTTTATAGGGTAGGAAGAATCAATTTTGTTTGAAACCGTTCGTAAACAAATATTGCATACTTCCAGTGAACGACAACCCACACGTCAAGCAAACATTACAGAAATTTCGATCTGAGTTTCTAGATGAAAAAAAATCAGATATCATAAATCAATTTGAAATCCAAATTCAAGTGCTCGTGAAAAAGATTATCAATAGTTACTATTTTTCTTTGGGTTTCGTGTACGACGAACATTTAAACGTCTTTTCTTAATATCCTAAATGAATAATGACTACCTAAATGACTTAATGAATTACTATTATTATCATAAAAATAAATTTATCGAAAAAATAACATCTATGTTTAATTGTTACCCAAAGTTATTACTTATTTGTCTATTTTTTAACATTTCTAAATAATTAATCAACAATGGAGTTAAAAGTAACAAAAAAAAAAGAAATTGTAAGTATTAAAATCCTAATAATATCTAATGGCAACGATATATTCATATAAAATAGTTCGTTTTGTTCACACCAAAAATTATAACAGAAAATTAAATGGCAAAATAAACTTTACTTCAACTGATACGAATAATTGTCTACGATATTTTGCATTTTTGTCTCTTGACAGCACCTATACACTATTAAGTTAATATAGCTATAATAATTCCTTTAGACTTGTAACAGCGTTGTTCCCATAATACTCCGTCCTTAATGCGTCAACTACTCTGTTAATGATTTATTTCAAATTACACACAAATATATTAATAACAAAAAAAACACATAACTCACTCGATTATTTGAATTACATGTGTACATAAAAGGTATACATAATTGAATATGTTAAAACGTGCTTAGTTATTCGAATTTTTGAAATAACGATAAATAATACTAAATTGTCGAAATTAAATATAACCATAAATCGTATTCGGATTAAAATAAAAGTTTAAAATTGTATTTTTATCCCTAAACGGATAGTAATAATTTGTTAATTGAAAAATTACTATGATGATAACTATGTCATTTTCAGGGCAGAATAGTTTAATATTTAAACAGCATACTTTTTTTTAAACAACACCTATTAGGCATGTTGCAAATTTGTTTGCTGTAGATAAATTAGGTAATAGCCAAATGTTAAAAGTTACGGACGTAAAATCTAAAATCAATGTTTTTTTCAAAATGCATTGGATTATTTTAAAATTAAAATTCTAAATTTATCCTGTATAATAGTGAGTACACAGTCACTAAAAACGATAGCCTGTTTAATTTCCAACAACTATAATAACAGCTAACGATAATTGTTTCAAAAGTTCTCGAAAAATACTTATATATCTTTTTGATTTTACTTAGCAAAACGAATAAAAACCATAATATCTTGGATGTTCTATCGAAATCATAAATCGACTTATTAGCAAATAGGGCAAATGGTTCGTAAAGAACTTATAAAGTTATAAAATGATGTGTACAAAAAAAATTAAGGTTACAATGCGAAAAACCACAAAGGTCACTTTTATTATTTATTAATTAAAAAAAAATAAAATGTTAAAGAATGTTTAAAAATGTAGTACGTTAAAAATAATTTTTACCACAAAACCGACCATTGATAAAAAAGAGACATTTTATAGGACTAAAATATAGATTTTTAACTACATATTAAGGATAATTTTAAATTACTAATTAAAATAATTGGTTATCACCAATTTTAAGTGACAATCTTTTTTTTTTAACCAAACTATAAACCTCAAGACAAAGCCTTTTTGATTTGTTATGTAATATAATCTAGCTGTTACACGACTAAGTTGAATTCATTGTTTTTATTTTAAAGTCATTTTTCAATAATCCGAAAATTTACAAACAAAATTCATCTATAAATAATGTATAGATACTTTATTAATTATAGCTAAACTGACGGTAACGTCAATCTATGGGTCATCATATATTTCTCTATAAAGTATATGTCAAACCAAAAGTATCGTCGAAAAGATCTAAGGTTCTGTATTTATATAGCATAGTTTAATTTTATTATTTATGCGGCTAAAGCAAATATGTTGGGTCTAAAGAAGAGTAACGGAATACACTTCGTTTCTGCATAAAAAACATGACAACTCTAATAATACCTCATTGTTAGCCGGATTCTATGGACAAGCTGTTGTTTTTAATTAAATAAAAATCCGTATATTGAGTATAAAAAAGCCAATATTTAATTTATTGTAACTTTTGCAATAATAGCGTTAATTTTTTTAGTTTTAATGTTCAGATAACGCTCTGTTAAATTGCTTACAAAACGTCGACATAACTTTGTCAATTTTCGTTTTGGAAGTGTATTTTTTTTAATAAGATATAAAAGTGGTTTTTTATACTTTTTACTGGTTTAATTTATTTTTGCCGAAAATCGACATCGGTTCATTTAGATCTAAGATGAAAAATACTCTCAAATTTACTATGATGTTCAAATTACTGTACTATAGCAATTAGCATATAAAACTATATCGAATGATCGTTTTACTATATTACAATAAAATAACATATTTTTAATTTCTGGCACGTGCTAAGCGATCTAACTAGTGATAATAATATATTGTAAAAAATCTATTTGAACAAATAGTATAGGTGACAATATTTTTTTAAATCAAAAATTTATTTTCTGGTATAATTATGAAATTTTTTTATATAGTTTTGGATAAGCCATAAAACAAATGCAAATACTATTTATCAAAAAAGTCATATATTTTTTCTCAGTTTTTACTAATATATTATTAGAATATTGACACTGAACGTTTATTTAATTGTAATCTAGGTTAATTAACGATACCATTCCTGTATAAAAAGCCACGGTGTAAGCCTCAAAAGCATCCACAGCTCACTGATCGTTCATATAGTTATAAATTGTCTATAAACTATCAAGCACCATGATGTCGAAATTTTCTGGAGTACTAGCGGTGAGTTTAAACATTGTCATTATTATTAGCCGAACGTAATCATATTTGATTTTAGTACTGTGCGCTTATTAAATTAAAAACTTTTGCACTTGGCCATTTTTGTAATTTTTAAATTATATCACGGAAAACTCACCGTAAAAGTAATATCACTAGTTTAGCAATCAAATAAATTATAATCTATGAATAATTATAATATATAAAAAAAGTTCTTCGATACAAATAATTGTTTTCACTTTAGATTACTAATAGTAGTTTATTGGTTTAAAAAAATTATTAATTTTAACAATTTTTTTCACATGTTATTTTATTTTTACTTAACACGTTCACTGTCCTAATGTTAAAAGTTATCAGTCCTATGATCCATATATGGGTCACGTTAAACCTATTTAAGTAGTCCACGATCCACATGTGGTTCATTTCAAACATTTATTTCTCTGGATATTTATTTGTATGGACTATATTCTATGAAATTCATAATAACACAGTTGGACAGGTGAGATGATAGGGACTTAATTAATTATAATTAATAAATTAATAAATTAGGGACTTATCTAAAAATAAATCATAAACCACGTAAGGGTCATCGGACAGTGAACGTGTTAATAAGACCTACAACCAAAGATTAATGACTTTTTTATGGTCTTGCCGTTTAACGATGATTTTTTAAATTTGTAATAATTAGTGTATTTGTCTACGAGAGTTGAAAATAAAAATACATAAGTGGTTACAATTCCACCAACAAAATAATGTTGTAGATATTCGTTACTTATTTTTGACAAAATTTAATAATTTATTGTTTTTATGTAATATAATATATTGTATACGTCTAACAGTGTTCAACGTTGGTGATTATATTTATTAGTTTATCACTTTCATAATACAATTTTACCCCTGTTTACTTTGCCCCTATCAACGATCAGAGATGATTTTGTAATATTTGATTTTTATTCCATGTATGTATGTTTTAGGTGGTGATTCTTGTTCAGTATGTGATTGCTGACGATGCACCTGTAGGAGATGGAAAAAATACAATCACAATAAATTGTACACCTTCTGTTGACTTAAATAATGTGAAGTTTGCTACGTTCCAAGATGTAATTGATAAAAATCCAAAAGTGAAAGGTATCTCAGAATTGAAACCATATTACCTGAAATGGAAACCAGATCCAAACGACGCTAGTTTAAGGGGAAACTTCTTTACGGAGTTGGACGCTGTGTACAAGGGGAAACTAGATATTTACGAACCATTTAGAAGCCTGGTTTTAACTACAGACAAAGGGTTGAACGGTGGTACTTCTAGTATTCCTGACAACTGTACGGATTAGACCCCAATATAGACAAGCACCTTTTTCCATGTTTCTTTTTGTCTTTCTTTTAAGTAATATCTATTATTAATGTATTACACTTTACCACCACTCCGAAAACACAATATTTGTTAAACAGCATTTTATCGTTTAAAAATAATAATATTTAATAATTCAGAAGTGTAATTTAATCCGATGTACTTCTTCGTAAATTATTAAAATAAAATTTACCAGAAATTAATTTGTTTGGGTTTGTCACGCAGAGAGTTTTTCTGAAAAATAAATGTGATACCTACCCACTATGGTTCTTATATACTTAATCGTCGTTTTACTAAATAGTTAGTAGGTATTATTTGTATCGTAGTACTTATCATACTCCTAACCTGGTAATTTAATACATGTGAGTCACGAGGATTTGACAAATTTATTTACAGCAATAATGTAAACCAATAAAATCCTCGTGATCGGCACTTCATTCAAGTACTCGGTTTTTGTTATTCTAAATGTTATAAAAATAGATTTGTAATTAGACAGGCTTGTCAGAGATAAATCATAATAGTGTTTAATGATCACCAGTTTTATTATTTCCAGAGTTGTTAGACTTTTGAAACTTGACTGCTAATAATTCAGTGTTATACGTTAAATTAATTACTCTGTAAATAATTAAACCGGGAAAATGTACAAAATCAAATGCGCTATTTCGCTAACTAAAGAAAGTTGTAGACCGAAAACGTTTTATTCATAAAAGGCCTCGTGACTTGAGGTCATTGGCTTCCAAGTTGTAACAATACAATATGCAACCCTACCAATTATCAAGTCTTAACTCTTCAGTCTCGGGGTTAATTAGTATTTAAATTTTAAACATTTTTTTAACAGACCCAGTGCACGATAAGTACCTATTACATGCTAGTCTTCCGGCATAATTTTCTATACCAATTTCTCATTCATCCATACAAGACTTGTAGATACACAAATAGAGAAAACTTAACGAATAAAATTAAATATACTTAATTAATGGTAAATTAATAATTAACATTACATTTATTATAAATAATATAATAATATATAATTTATATATTAAACTTTAGTTAGTTATTTTATTATTACTTATCATTACTATTCATCAATTGTTTTTAGCTTAGTTGGGTAATAAGGCATGATTGAATACATTTACTATTGAAATGAACATAAAAGTTATTTTTTTATTAATAATAATTATTATTACTTTCAATAAAACAAAACATATCATGCGATATCAGATGTCTCTCTTGCATTTTTATGTTTAATACTTTACTCATTTAATTACTCTATTTAATCAAACTCCAATATTAATATCCATTTTATTTTTTATGGAGGGTTGCAATCAAAAAGGTTTATTTTTCTAATGAATAGCACATCACCACGGGGCATATTATAAAATTATGTTGTAATTAACTGAACTAAATTTGAATCCAGGATCACGCAATAAAAGACAATTAACAACTACGCATATAATTTTAAACCCGCTCAATATGTTGTTACGACTTACAAAAAATATGTTTGTGATGCATGTTGTTATTTATATTCCCATACGTATATCATTCAATAAGTATAAAATTACAGATGGTATTTTATTTTTATCCCAAAATACTCGAGTTTCATTTTACTTAACTAATAAAACTTTTTTTTTTTTAAGTTTCTGATGTCATATTGTATTAACTTTAGACTATTATTTTTTTATTCCCATATTTTTTTTAATTTTGGCATAATACATTATACAAAAATCAAATCTAAACAATTTTACCTTTCAGTTACTAACTTCAAGAATCAAATATTGCATACTATATATGAGACACGCTGAGTTTGTGTAGACTTGTTAACTATTAACAGTTAAACAGACGGAATTTTTAATTATTTGTCAGAAGGAAGGAACAAGAATTGGTCATTTTTAAATGAAATTGTACGTATTACAATGCATACAAATATAAAATATAAATTATTACTCTTAGAAAAATATCAGTTTCAATTAGTTTGTCTATGTACATAATATACAACACTATTTAGAAATACACATTATATAGAGCTACTAAGGCAGCCCTCCAATACCTTTTATTTGTCTTAAGTCAAACTATTACTACAAAAACCATCAAAATTACGCATATATAAAAATTTGTCAACTTTCAAACCTGAAAACATTGAAATTTAAAATTAAAAAAAAAAACCAAACGCCGTTATTTTGAGTTTTATTCACATCGTGTATAATATATATTAACTTTATATTCGTAATTTTTTACTTTCCCCGTGTAGTGTTACAAGAATTTACTTTAAGAAACTTTCAATTTACAGACCTAGCGGCAATTAAGCCTTTATGTTATTCAGAGCTTTATTTATCCCATTGTACAAACTGTGCATAATCGGCTGTAAGATTACTCTCCAGGGGTTAACTGCTCATTAAGGGTGGCAGAGATTTATTATTATTGGTTTAACATAACACAACCCAATCTGAATGATTTTAATGTAAAATTCTGTACATGTATCAACAGAATTAAAAAATAATTTGATAAATCATAGAACACTTATTAGTTACACCAATAATAAGTTTTTTTGAGTATACATAGCAAGTATAAATTGTATGCAGATGGATCGTGTGCACTATTAGAAGTATGCAATAGTATGTTTAATTTTTTTTTTTTTTTAATGTTATATATACACGAAATATAAGTACCATCAACATTAAGAACTCTTTATTCACTGTTCAGTTACTCGTAGAATAATTTAATAAAGTGAATAACACGAAAAGTTAACCAATTTCTTAGGTTATGAATTTTATTTAATAAAATAAATTGACATCAAAGTTAACATCACAAACGTAACTAAAATAGTTCATAATTAATATTTACATGGGTTCGGGCATTTCAATATCTCTACATGTTGAATTCTCATATTCACGACGTATTTCCTGAGTAATTGTCGGATGTGATTTAGATCTTAGCAGTCGTAATAAAGCTTTTTTCTGTTCGGAACTTATATCAGTTTTGTAACGCTGAGCAAAAGTTAATAATGATTGATGCCACAAAACAGGCAAATCTCTTGGATCGTGTTCAAATCTATAAACAAAAAAAAATGTTAAAAAAGGTTACATATTATAATTTGATTGGCAAAAAATAATTAAATAATTTACCTTAAAAAGTGAAACACAACTGCATCTATGACCCTATAAGGAAGTGCATACTTTTTATCAAAAAGTATCCTCAGAAATATCGAAGTTGCTCCATTATAATCCATTTCAGCCAATTTAAGAATGGCAGCCGCTGAATGCAGCATTGGTATAGAATTTTTACCGATAACCGATCCAATAATAATAGCCTCTCGCAGTGTACATGTGCCACTCTAAATTATAAACACTAAATTTAGCACCATATTTTTACAAGTAGAGCTGATACTACTTTGGGTAATCTAATGATGACAAATACTATGATTCTGCTAATGCTTAAAAAGATTGGATACAGATGATTGCCGTCTCTGTTTAACTCATGCACAACATAGGAATTACAATGTATTTTTGTCCATCATACCTATATATTCAGTGATTCGATAAGGACTGAAAACAGATTTGAATTTGTTTTTTGAAGTTTACTAGTGACAGGTCATTTTACTTTTTTAAATTTTGAATTTCAACACTCCAAATTAGATTTAAAAATTTAAAAAAAATTTTAATTTAAAAATTAAATTCGCAGAGTTCAAATTTAAAACTGAAAAAGTAAAATCACCAATCCCAAGAAAACTTTATGACAAATTAAAATCTGTTTTTAGATCTCTTATTGCATCACTAGTTAAATGGACAAAAAATACATCTAAATTTTTATATTGCGCTTGAGATAAACAGAGACTAGAATAATCAATTTTATTATAGATAACATTTATGATATTTCATCAAATATCAATTTTCAATACTAGTTTAAAGAACAATTTTAAACATATACTTATAAATTAGTTCAATATCAAAGAAAAATTGAAACATAAAATATTTTAAAAGACAAATTTATACTTGTAATTACTACAACATCAGCTCAAGTTCCACTCCTAAATAGTATAATATTAAAATGTATAACACAATATTCATAACACTCTTACTTCGCACAAAGGTATGAGTATTCCTTTCATAAAAGCTCCCGGTTTGAACAAAGATTTTTTTAATGCTTCGTATAAATGGAAATTAAGTTTTTTATATTCATCTATGTCATCTCTAACTCTAGGAAGAAGCACTAGGTTATAAAACCTTTGAGCCATATTTTCTTTTAGATTAGATGCAAAAATACGAACACCTTGATACATTGCTGCAGCACTCCAAGATGATGGTTCTAAACAAAAATATTAATTCCCAAATGTATACATTATTTAAATCGTAATTATTGTTTTTTTTTTTTAAATATAAATCTCACCAGTTATGTATAAAATTTGCTCCCAATTACGCAATTTTGGTATTAATTTAAATGCTTTAGGTAGTTTACCACTCCTGTAAGTGGTTAAAACTTGTTTAACACCTTTATACATATGTATAACCCGTGGATCTACATCTTGAAGCTGAACACCTATAGAACATAATTAAATTAAATTAGCCATTTGAAAATTATTAATATACATATATTATTTCTAATAGCAAAAAAATTACTTTCTGCATCTGTAAACTGTGACTGAATTTCTGTTTGTTTTTCTGTTATTTTTTCCATTATCATATCTGCTAATGTAAATCTCGTTTCTGGTTTTTTAGACATAAACATTTCTAAAGCTTTTTCGTCATCTTTATTTATTTCCTAGAAATATAGTTGTGATAATTAAATAAAATTAATATTAATATTTATTATTAACTTTCAACAAAACTGAAATCAGATACCAGTTGTTCATAAAAGTCTCCCTCATCTCCTTCCCCAAACATTGGTTTATCATCTTCATCATCTTCCGAGTCGGTGCCCGATCCCAATGAAGTAAGAAGAATTTTATTGTCACCCTCTAAAATAAAGAAACATCAACAGGTATAAATATGTTAGTAAAACAAAACAATATATATCGATATTACCGCTTTCATTAATTTCTTGCTTCTGTTCACGTATTTGATGCAATATACGTTTTGACAGCTGAGACCCAATCAACTAGTATACAGAAAAGAAAAGAAAAATTACTAAACAAACAACACAGTAAAAAGAAATTTGTAATTTACCTCTTCGTTTTCTTCTTGGCGGATTCGTATTTTGGGTTCCTTGTTTTTCTTCGAGGCGACTCGATCGCCAGCAATCTGATCGGCTAAATTCGTGTACGGCTTGTCCATGCCTACTTTATTGATATTCTTCTTTTTCGTTTTACCCATATTGAAGAACGAATTTAAAATGTATAATATCAAAAGTGATTTACTGAAATCGAGCACGTCAAATCCTCTACGTGCAGAATATACTATATGTCTATAATATAGTCGCCGTTCAGCGCTCACGTGCAAAAACAAATTACAATCAGTATTGTTATCACTTGTCACATATCAACAGAGTTGGACAATAACATTGCAATCGACTTAATGGTCACACTGTCACGGTATTAATATTTAAACATTTTTAAAAACTTTAGCGTAGAGTTTTTAATTGTTTTAATTACATTAGTTGAAATTTACGAACGGCTTTAAATATTTTCAACAGTAGAGAGTGTCAAAATTATCCGAAACGGCCGAATTAAATAATTAGAACGCAATCCATGCACAATATTGTTGTATTGCATACATAGTCGCACTGATGCAGTGCGCACTAAACCTTAATATGTTTCTCAGGGGTCGACGGTCGTCCATATTGTTTTTGTTGTGAAAAAAAATCTTCAAGATTTGCAGGATTATCATTAAAATTGATGTATTTACTTAAAGAGTGCGTTTCGTTAATTCTAGCGCAGCGTCCTATGTTTCCTTAGGTGATCATTTCACCGAAAAATGAACAATGTTCACGTCAAACGCCGTCTGAGGGAATTGTCTTGTTCTATCCGTGAGTTATGATAACTGATACACATCTTGCCCAGAATATTTATTCACTATTATACACCTGTTATACAAGTAACTCAATAGTTAGTACAATCGAATTGTAAGCCTATGCATAAAGCTTGGAATTCTCCTTTACAAATTATACATTTTATGTTAGTAACAAGAAAAGCTAGGTGTCTATTAAACAAAATGATGGCCTACCAAAGTAGTTACACACAAAGTACATCATATAAACTCCCCAATTTATGATTTTATAATTTATAATACTCGAGGTGAAATATTATTATATTTTAAATTGGCTATGCCAATATATTGCTTTGGTGCTTCATTTTTATTACAATTTTATCTTGCCAAAATGATAACATAGTGTTGCCGATTGTTTCGTTAGTGTTGTATCTCGTACATATAGTTTAGTAAAGGTAACCATGGTCTCTGTTCACTAATGGTGCATAATTGTTTTCAAGGATATACATATATGTATATTTATAAAGTAAATATTGTATTTTCATACAAATGTTTATAAAAAGTGTTGAAAAATGTTTTCTAGTCTTTGCGAAATTCAATAACTTCAAATGATTTCTGACGTGAGAGTTCAACAAAACAATATAAACATTAATTAGTAATCATAGTTAGAGTTTTATATTAGTTTTTTTTTATAGTGTTTGCCTATTGTATTAATAATTTCTATTAACAGTATAGGCTGTTATTATATTAAATGGATGTTTTTGCCCCCAACCATTCTGTCCTTGTTAAAAAAATTGTGTTTATGACAATTTCTTCCTCAAATTAATTTTATTCTTAATTTATAATTATCATATAATCATGTTATGTTTGATATTAATTCAATCGACCATTTGAATGTCTGGGACAAAATGTTGTATAGGACTACCTTTGGAGACAAAACAGTCTGAGACATAAATCCTAGAATCTAGTATTACATGGTTTAATTGTCAAAACTGATGTTAGATTGTAAGATCTGTTTAAAATCGATTTTTAAACATATTAGGCTCACTGTACTTTAAGTCTAACAAGTTTTTTATTTATTTATTTTATTTTTTAGAACATGAATATCAAATTCTAAATTGAAGATTCACCTTATTTTAAATCAGATATTCAAACAAAATGGAAAGAAGAAATTGGCTGTGGTGGATATGCAGTACGCTAATTCTAGCAACTATATGTAATTGTGCTAGTCGGCGTGTTGAGACTACCATTATAAAATGCGATTATTACAACCAAACATTGTGCGATTCTTCACACGGTGCAAATGGTTGTGGAAATGTCACACAAGAATGTAGTCCTGGTGATAATGACAAATCATCATCTTGTTTTGCCGTTTGGACAAATAATACTAAAACAAATGAAATAACTATTAAACTCAAGGTAAATTTTAATCAACTGATTACATAAAACTATTTTATTTTATCTTTTATCGATTTGTATTCAGGGATGTTTCTTAAACAACGTGGAATGTCTTGGTCAAAAACAGTGCAAAGCTAAAAAAGAAGAAATCAAAACCAATGGATTTATGTTTTGTTGTTGTGAAGGCGATTTCTGCAATCGAGAACTTTTTTGGGAACCTATACCTATTGTCCCCAAAATTGAGCCATGTCAGTAACATTATGTTAATAAATATTAATTTCATACGTTTCGTAAATCTACATAATTTTTTACTCGTACGTTTGGATGTTTTAGCTGCACAACCAATCCACGATGATGATGAATTAATGTACACATTGGTGTATTCTATTATACCATTAGCGGCAGTAGCCAGTATGTTTCTATTTATCTACTGGGTGTACAAACGAAGGAAAATTCCTCAATTCTCTCATGTAAGATAATTTTATTATATTATTATTGTAAAGTTAACAATATCATACAATTTTTTCATTTATTTTTAATCAAATTGATGCTTTTAAAATTAATTTCTTATTGCCTTTGGAAACTAATAACTAATTTAGTTCATGAATCGTTTAAACTATTATCAATAATTATATGATATATATATGAATTAAACAAGTTTATAATAATTATTATATAATGTACCTTGATAATTCAATAACAATAAAAATGTAGTTACATTTTAAAATGCACTGAAATTCTAATTTTTATACAATGCCATTGTTAATATTAATTATTATATATATTTTTTCTTTTAATCTTGACTCTTGTTGGAATTTAATCTTTAGTGGGTGAGTCAAGTAAATTTATCTTCAATTTGCTATTATAATTTTTACAAATTTATTTCTGTTTTTATTAATATTTGAATAATTTACGTATGTCTTTTTCTATTTAAGGTTCCTTCGTCTGATAGCTCTCATTTGGGTAATTGTTCTCCTGTACTTGGCAGCCGCCCCATTCAACTAGTCGAAGTCAAAGCCCGTGGTCGTTATGGTGCCGTTTGGAAAGCTCTCCATAAAAAAGATACAGTTGCCGTGAAAATATTTCCTCCCCAAGTAAGTTGTTATTGAAGTTTCTTTTTTCTTCGAAAAATACATAATTTTTATAATTACAGGACAAAAATTCATGGTTGGTGGAACAAGATATCTACCAATTGCCACATATGCAACACGACAACATGTTATCATTTATCGGAGCTGAGAAACACGCCAGTGCTATTGAAGGAGCGAAAAACGAATATTGGTTAATTACAGCTTATCATGATTATGGATCACTTTGTGATTATTTAAAATCTAATGTACTGACCTGGGATCAGCTTTGCCACATCGCCCAATCTATGGCTAGGTAATATAGATAAAGTTGTCTGAATGTCTTTCGGTTCAGTTTTTAAAAATTGATACATTTTAGGGGCTTGATGCATTTACACGAAGAGATTCCTTCAGAACGTTCAGACCAGTATAAACCAGCCATTGCTCACAGAGATTTTAAGAGCAACAATGTCCTACTTAAACACGATTTAACAGCTTGTATTGCTGATTTTGGTCTGGCTTTAGTGTTCCAGCCTGGCAAGTCCTGTGGAGATACCCATGGCCAGGTAAAAAACTGTGGTCTTAGTTGGCTACATAATTAAAAGTACATTTTAATTGTTTTTTTAATTATTTAATTTCTAAAACTATTGTTGAATAGGTCGGTACACGAAGATACATGGCGCCTGAAGTATTAGAAGGAGCAATCAATTTCTCAAGAGATGCATTTTTAAGGATAGATATGTATGCATGTGGATTAGTGCTGTGGGAATTAGCTACAAGATGTACTGCACAACAAGGTGCAATTCCCGATTATCGTCTACCATTTGAAGAAGAAGTTGGACAACATCCTTCCTTAGAAGACATGCAAGAATGTGTGGTCCATAAGAAACTAAGACCTGCATTTAAGGACAGTTGGAAATCGCATCCAGTAAGAAATTTGTATTAAATTAAAAAAAGAAAAATTTTAAGAAAATATTGTATTAACTCTGGACCAAACACTAAAAGAAGTCACATTGGCATTATTTGTTTAATTAACTGTTTTTTTTCTTCATAAAATTGATTTGTTTTAGGGCTTAATAGCTTTGTGTGATACTATGGAAGAGTGTTGGGATCATGATGCAGAAGCCAGGCTGTCAGCATCGTGTGTGATGGAGCGTATCACATGGCAGTGTCGTCAATATAACGGTTCGACAATAGCGCCATTAGGACCATCAGTTCCGCCCCCAAACATAATAAGTTTACCTGCAGCCAGAGTTGTGGTACAAAAGAACAACCCAAACTGGGACTGAAACCCAATGAGCTGAGAACAATTATTAAATGAATACTCAATTAGTAGGTATGCAGCAGAATGATGTATTATAGTTGTAATAACCAAACTGACTTAAAACCTTCTTAAAAAGTTTAAAGATCACGATTGTTATACCAAAAATTGGTATATTTAATAAGGTTATTGATATTCGCAGTTCTTTTTATTCCTGCAATAATTTTTTTTTTTATTAATATAGGGTTAATAAAAACTATGTGTTTAATTTACTATTTAATTTTAACTTTTTTTATACTAAATTATTATTTTTAAGTAAAGTCGTACATTATTTTCAAGTGAAATCCATTTTAACTGTTTGAAATTTCCTTGAAAAAATTTGAATGATTTATTTCGATTTATATGAAAATGTGTTACAAATATAGTTTAAATATATTGAATGGATGATATAGATGTGTTTACTTATATTATTAATTCAATAAAAAAGGGTTACTTATAATTTTACCTTCCTGGATAAATTTCTTTTTTTAGCTGAAAATTTTAAATATAATCCGTTTTGATCTTTATTTTTGCTGTACTTTAATTATTCCTGACCCGGGACTAAAAAAAAATTGTTTGAATTTTACTTTCATTGTTCTTACTACCACGCTTAGTTTCGATATTCTTATTTCTACCTCAAACCTTCCATCCTGTTAAAAGATAATAATAATAACAATTTTGAAACTTGTGCCAATATCCTTAAGTGGCTTATAATAATTACTATGAATATAAGTTTTTTAATATGCATTAAACATTATTTAGTTATGATAATAATTGATACATTTGTAAGTCCTTTGGATATTTTTAGTAATATTATAATTATATTTTATTTTTTAAAATACATTTTCTTTTTGAATTGTCTCCATTAGACTCGTTTTATTATTGTTGCCATGTTTGTTTATTCTAGATTTAAACTGTAATTTACATAGTATTTTTTAAGAAATAAATATAAATTATATATTCACAATTAAATTATATATATGTAATTTATAATGAAATTAAAAAATATTTATATTAATTATACAGAGCGTCTCATGCTGTTGTGATAAATTTACATATAATATATATTATGTAATATTGTCAAAACAGCTAGCAGACACGTTGCTTAGTGACACAATTGAATGACAATTTTTTTGTTTTATATTTAATAGGTATATATGTTACGATTATTATAAAATGTATTTTTCTTGTAGTAATAATTACCTTTCTAAAGCAGTATTTATTCATAAAGAAAGAATTGTGTCGTTAAATAATTTCAAAGGCTTAATTCTATACAAAAAAAACATATATATGTATAATATTTAAAATGTATAACCTATAAGTACTAAATTTTATAAAATAGTTCCTTAATTTTTTTAATATGTATGTTCACTTTCTCCCTCTTATATTTTATTGTTCCTTATGAAATGTCTTACGAAGTTAGTACAATTACAAGCAAACGCTAAGACTGCTGCTTCATAAACAATAGTTGTTTACATGAAAAAAAAAATACTAAATAAACTGCACAAGAATTTTACTTATTACGTAAATGTTGTAAATAGAATAATTTTATGATGGTTACTTGTAAAATATTAACATATATTTTGTCGTTGTTGTTAAGGATTATAAATTTTTTTAATTTTTAAAACAATGCAGACTTTATTTTATTAAAATTATATATATATATATACATGTGTGTGTGTGTGTTTAAACAAACTTGTATATTTTTATGTAGTATCAATATATTGTATACATATACAGTGTGATATTTTTTAAGATTAACCATGCGGTAAATCCTTGTGTAATAACAATGTTTTTGTAAGTCATAGGAAAGTTTAAATTATCCTTTTTTTTTATTATTATTATAACTATAAACGTTCAATAAACTTCAAAATTTGTATTACACCATGTTTATACATTATGACTACTTAATAAACATAAAAGTTATAGTTAACGAAAAATTACTCGCATGATAACTTAATTTAACACGGTTTTAATATAAAATTGAGGATTTTTTTTACCCCTAAGGTGAGAGTTTTGAGTTTAAGCTTAAGTATAGTATGTACCAAGAAACAAACGTTTTAAAAAGTTGGTTATTCTGTATGTACATGTCCATAATATTACGGCTTTTAAGCTTTCCTTTATTTTTTTTTATGGTACAGGGTGTGAATATTTTGAATGTTAAAACGTTTTTGTCAAAAATTTATAAATTTGAATTATTATATTTATATGTAAGTACTATGGAATGAAACGAATATATATATATTTTTTTTTAAAACATTAAAAAATGAAAACGCCCAACATTTATGAATGAACTAATAAAAAAAAATTGTACCGATAATCGGTTTTTGGAGACTTTGAAGAAGCGATATACAAATCATTTTTTGGCGACGAAATATACATCGCTATTTACCTATGTTGTATATTATTTAATAAATTGGTATAAGTGTGTCAAGGTCATTAAAAAACGATTATTGTATAATTTACAGCCAAATTAAATAACATTATGCACTATCGTTGAATACAGTAATATGTGTCCCAACTCTCATCGTTTTTAGTTGTTAAGTTGGATTAAGTTTAATGGAGTATTTACGTACATATTAATACATGTTGTATACATAAAATTGTAAATAATAAGTATTATAAGTAGATATCAATATCTTGTTTGGTTTGTTCCTTAAACTATGTATCCGTTTCTGTTTCACTCTCGCTCTCCGACGAGGTAAACTCGCTACTGTCCGTGTATTCGGTCATTTCGTCGACTATGATAAAACAATTGAGTTAGTCAAGGTTATTTTTTAAATCTATTATCGTAGACAAACTAGACACATTTCATTATTTACTCATTTCAATTTTTTTCTTCAAAAGCGTTTGAAAACTCTTTATTGTTTCGTTTTCCTGTTCGTGGTCCAAAACTATTAAAAAATAATATTACAAAAATCGTAAAAAACTTTAAAAAAAAAAATTCTAATAATATGTTTTACTTGCGTCGCAGTAATTTAGAGCCGTACTATAGTTTTTGGCCACCAACGCCGAGTGCATCTAGATGACAAAAAAAATGCAGTCCAAATGATTTAATCATAAGATTTTACTAGTTCGGGTGTTTTTCACCTTAATAAATAGTCCTACAGGCGCTTTGATTGTGTCCGTCATACTGTCCAAACACGACATAATGTAGTATCGATTATTATGCAATACATACGAAGTTACTATAGAAACAACGTGCCCTATAATAAGAAAACATATTTTTTTAATGTATACTATAGTAGCAAATCGTTAAAAAATCAACAATGTCTTAGGTTTTTGAACAATTGGAATAAACTGGCTAAATCCCAATAGGCAGGCCTATCGATAGGCTTTTGCTATATACTTTAGCATTTTTTAGTGTTTTCTAGAGCTCTATTGATTTTTAAAACTACACTTCGCCCTTCCTCCCGCCTTAAATTTGAAACTTAAACGACATTAAAAGTAGGTAATTATCCAGAACTGGTTATCAACCAGACGAAATGTTCAGCAAATTGTTTTTAATTTAAAAAGTTACAATTATTATAAAAAATATACTAGTGACTGAATGAATAACCCTATACAATGTTGGCTACTCGACACATTAAAATATTTACACTAGAGACCAACCAACGATTAATTACTAATACTAATTAGTTAGTTTATTGTAATTGCGTTTGCCGGAGAATGAGTCAGACAGAAATAATTTCCAGGCCAAGAACAAACTTTCTAAATCTCATTTTTTATGTGTGCCAAGCAGACATGCGGCATTAAACCGCCAAAACCGGCTGAAACAGTCTACCGGCCATGCTGTTTTTTTTTCAACTCATATCCAAACGTGGTTACGATCACGTCATCATACATTATTCAAGTATAAAAAGGATATTAGAAAGTTTTTTTTTACTCGGAATTTATTATACATTTTATATTTTTATTCTCAAAAATCGATACTAAAAACATTAAAGCTAATCTATTTTGCTCATAATAGCCCCTATCTAATATGTATTATTCGCCCACCTAAATTAGATATAATATATATTATATATTTTTTAATGTTTTTCCGTGATTTTGGATTTTTTTCTCCGAAATTATAATACATTAATGCGAAATTTTAATGTGACACACATCTTGTACCGTTGGTTTTAATTACGAAAATGCTCCAACCGGATAAAATATTATTTACTTTACTTATTTCAATTTAGAAATAAATGACATGTTTCTACACGAAGACAAAACAACACTCGAGTCGAGGACACTAGAATGTATCTTTATTAATATCTTTATATACACCTAAATCCTTAGTATTTTATAATTATTGTTATTGTAAAATTAATTTGTCGAAAACAATTTAATTTTCGAGACATGAAGTGTACTTATTTTAAGCTACGAAAGAAGATTATGATAAGATTTTTCCTCGGATACAAATATGAGCAAAAACACAAGCTACTATCCGTACTAGCTGGCACTTAAAATAATTATTATACAGAAGGCATATTCGAGGTCACCACTCACCGTTATTATCTTAATCTTTCTATTTTCTACAAGTTGTTTGGGAACTGAATACTTAAGTGGTGCTAATAAGTAGTTTAAAAAAATTGTTCGGCGCCGTTGCTATCATCATCAGAACTATTTCCATTATCTTATTTGTACATATGTATATAATGATATGTAGCCATGTAAGTTCCTATTTCTTTCACGTGTGTTGTGGTAAAAGTTAATAGGTGGTAAATATTATCTGTGTGCCGTTTTTTTAACGGTATGCCAATAACACATTCGTAATGACATTAAGTCATTAAATATTACAGGAAAAATAACAATGCAATCAAAGAATACTAAAAATTATAATGTCCATTTCCAAACAATTGTAGTAAGTAATGCTAGGCAGCTTATACGCAGGTAAACGAGATCAGCATAATCCAGAAGAGGGTTACCAGATAAAACCAACGAGATTTTTAAAAATTATTTCACGTTATTGATTGTATCTTTAAATTTTTATAATATCCAAAAATAAGGTCATCATAATACACCACCGGAATTTTAGTTCAAAATTCAAATAGTACGGGACTGTTTGTCAAAGAAAATACATATTTTTGGTTGTATTCATTGTTCATTAATCCACAACTACGTTATAATTAAAGAATAATAATTAGTTGTACTGCAGGTCAAAAGTCTGTCTGTGATCAGATTTATCACAAAAATGTGTTTTGCGTCTTGTGTGAGCTAATCTCTTATGTTAAATTAATAGTTGCTTACAATTTTTTTTTTAGTTATCTTATTGTGTTAGTTTGTTTCATATGTAAACGGTTACTGACAAAAATGTTATACTTGCGGACTCGCAATCTAAATATAATAACAATAGCACATATCTTATGTAAAAATTACAAGCAGTCTTTTTTTTTTAAATGAAAAACTACATAAAATAAGCAAAAACAAATTATCCGTTTCAAACATTTTTATTTTCAAGTATGTGTTCTTTGAACTTAAGACGACAGGGACAACACTCAACAGAAATTACCAAGATAACATATTTAGCTATTAATGTTGATACCGATATTGTAACTACAGTCTAAACAAAATAAAATCAATAGAATTGTACAAAAAAAAATCAATTTGTCCAAAATACTTTGTTGTAAAAAATAAAAAAGACGAAGGCAAGTTTTTAATTTTTTATTAAATACTGAAATTTTAATTTAGTATTGGAATTATTTAATCAACGTATATTTTTTAAATCCAAATTTAACTTAACTTAATATAACTTTGGCCCTGGATCCCTTGTTTTGTAGCATAATATGATTTTAATAACGTAAAAATTAAACATTGAAAATAGGATTTGTGCATTTTTACACAACAACAATACTTGACAATTAAATTGGGGTTTGGGAGGCGACTAAGAGACATGTCACTTATTTTACAATTTTTTGTTAACATTTTCAAGCAGAATTCGAACAAAACTAATAAATAAAACCAACAACGGTCGAACAATAATTATTATTGTGTCAACAGTGTCGTGGCGTTTACGGAACTGGCGTCGTCGAATTGCCTATACTCGGCGCCGTTTTTCCGCTGGATCGTCCTTGGGATAACGATTGCGAAACGCGCAGTCCGCGGAACTTGTACCAGGAGATCATGCGCCCGTGTCTGACAACGTTGCCGAGCTTGGTAGGTACATATGATTGTACAATAATATTATAATATTATTGTTATTTTATAATCATTTTGTCAATGAACTCCCACCCACCCACCCCGCAAATTCTACACCACAACACGCGCTGTAAATTCGTAATTACGCTGAACTACGGTCGAAAAACACCAACCAAGGAACTATTACGTAACAAGATAACTTATTACATAATTATTATTCTTACAATGAAAATAGTATACCTAATGTATTTTTTCGGCACCCATTTAATTACTTACGGTCGATAAGGCGTAAACTCGTTCACATCAAACAATAACCTTTACTACTCAGTTGAGTCCGGTACAAAATAATTGTCAACACATTAACAGTATACAAAATAATATAATGGACTTTAATCGTGTGCGTGGAACAGCTTATAAACTATGTACTTCAAACAAGTACATACTACACAATACGACTTATAAATGTGTGTATACATTATATATATTATATACATATATATAAAATGGTATTTTAATTTATGATATTTATGTTTAACCATACTATAGATCAATTAACACACGTGGGTAAAAAAGATAATTAGATTCATCATTTTTTTTTTTACAATCGTGTTATTAAATAAATGGTAATTATTCTGTATTGTATAAATCTGTTTTACAGATACGTAAAAAAACAAATTAGTAGAAGTGCTATTAATAAGTAGCCAATAATAATATTATACGTACAAATGTTATATAATTTCAAAAAATACCGTACACGTTGTTGCATTTTCAAAACAAATTAATGCATGTGTATTAAAAATAAAGATACAAGGTTTAATATAGGTTAAAGAAAATCCAATTATATCGGTCAATTTGGATGGAAATTTAAAAAAACCTAAACCTAATCGTATGCTTTTGAATCATAAATCATAAATTATGTAAATGGCTACCGACAAACTATTATAGATATTGATTTTAAATAAACCATTGTTTCGTACGACTCGATATTATAATAATTATATATTACATAACATACTAAGCTTAAACTCTTGACTACATCTATCTATACAAAATTGAATTGCCCTAAAATTAAGAGTATTCTTTATATAATTAATTTCTAAAAATATACTTTTATAATGTAATCAACGTTGAACGCGTTATTTAACATTGTGACATATGACTGATGGTGAAAAAGCATTCATAGTAAAATTTTGGCTCTACTATACTTATATCTTTGCCAAATATTCCGTCTGTACAATTTGTGTTTATTTTGTGTATTTTGAGTTTTCCTTAATTTTGAATTACTTCTAACTTCTAGGTGGAATGTTTGAATATATACGTATATTGTATTAAGAACACAAAGATGTTCTTGTTTTACTGTATGTTTTAAGTGGGTATACCTATAAAATACATTTTTATATTTAGTGTAATCGTGTTGGATTCTAAAACGTTGTAATTATTTAAATATTTAATAATTCCACATGTTCATTCAAATTTGCTTACAGAATTTTGACTTGTACGTTTTTTTAAAATAAAAAATGTATAAGCAATAAAGGTAACTATTATATTGTATATTTACAGTATATAATCAACCTAGATTACACGCAACGTCCAATATAATATTTATATATATATATATGAATCTGTACTGTACATTATTATTTTTTGTAGCCTTCAGGCACATATTTTAATTTGTACTAATATCAGTTATCAGTCATCGGCCTTACCTTAAATTACAGTAAAAAATACAAGAGTTACAATCAGCAAAATGTAAATTTTATGTAATTATATCATTTGACGGGTTTCCACTTTCCCATTTAAATGGGGGAAGGGGGCACAAGGGGCACACTGGACAATTAACCCCGCCCACCAAACCTAAAAACAACCCTAGCATTTGCACAAGGATCATTCCGTTTATTCAGAACAGTGTCTGATCTTGTGTCTTTTTTTTGTTTTTTTTATTAATCAAATAATGATGTATTATTAGGACAACATATTTGTTTGGTATGTGTTATGTGATATGTACTTTGGTCACACTTAATTTTATACTTTTTTATGTTTATTTCTAATACTATTAATTATTTTATGGTAATATTAAAATGATATCAAGGTTTTTAGTTATTTAGCATAGGTAAATTATGATCGCAATAAAGGGTATGACGTACATTTGGACAACATTAAAATATTAAAATTGTAGCTGGTTTATAATAGGCAATATTACCTATTAACTTATTAGGCCAAACTTAACCAATGTATACTGAAGATGGGTGTTAAATATAACTCTAATGAAAAATCGCAGTTAGGGTAGACAGGTAAATCCATCAGTTACAGCGGTTAGTTCTATTAGCTGTGCTCTTCTATGATTTTCTCCGAAACGCTTTATTATTGTTACTCAAGCTAGTTTACTGTTTAGTTACTGTAAAAATGAGTGACAAAGAGTTTAAAAATGTTTAAAAAATGTTGTTTAAATCCATTTGACATCCCGAATCACAGGTCTTATTTAAAAGCTCTTAGACAAATATTATCTAGAAATATGGTACTAAGTACATAGTATCATATTTTTCCATATCAAAACAAAAACACTACTTTTTTAAATTCTTGTAACCTTTAATTCTCAAAGTGTTAAAATGATCATGAAACTACACACATATTTACTACCAGTATGTGATATTTGTTGAATGATTCATTTATGGTGTCGTTTTTTTTTGGTACAAATGTTCAAGGTTAAAGTTTATCTAATTAAAATCTCAAGTTGATTATTTTTACGATGTTTGTTGTTTTAAGAAAACTAGATCTTTCTAAGATTTTTTGATCAACACATTTTTTTTAATATTGCCATGCCGTTTTGTTTACGCCAGGTAACACACGTGTCCATTGCTTTTGAACCGGTCGACCAAAACACTTTTATTTCGCCCACATATCGTTATTCGATTTATATAAATGATAAAAAATAAAAACACAAGGTCAGAAATTAAAAAACAATCTTGTTGAATTTACGTTGAATGACCCATGGGTAATCTGTTACAGGATTTCCAAAATCCAACAGACCGTTTGTTAGTTTAACAAAATAAATCGTAAAAACTAGATCTTTCCAAGATATTTTGATCAACACATTTTTTTTTAATATTGCCATACCGTTTTGTTTACTCTAGGTATACACACGTGCCCATTACTTTTGAACCGGTTGACCAAAACACTTTTATTTCGCCCAAACATCGTTATTTGATTTATATAAATGATAAACATTAAAGACACAAGGTCAGAAATTAAAAAAGAATCTAGTTGAATCTATGTGGAATGGTCCATAGGTAATCTATACAGGATTTCTAAAATTTTAGACGGCGGACCAGCATATTATATTATATGTATTTTGTTATGTAATGCCTTTAGAAAAAACAAATTTCCTGTATTGCCTTCCTTCCTTAAGCTTTTGTTAAGTGATAAAAATAAAAAATTGTATAATAATTATTCAAATAATAGCCATGTTGTCGTGTAATTATGTGTACATTTTTACGTGGACAAAATACTGAATTGGTAATTAGTATTATACGTTTCAATTTTGAAAAGTCGCAATAGTTTCATTGCCTAATTGGCCAAACCGAAGACCATTTTTTTCGTCGTGAAAAGAGTGGAACATTTAAATTATAAATATATGATAATTATATACTTATTGTTGTTTAGTTGAACAAATAGGCGAGTATTTATTACAAACTCCGACTAAAATGTTTCGTTACGTAACCGGATGGAAAAAATAATACGTTGAAAATACTTCAATAGACTTCGCGGAAGTTTCTCTATGATTTCCTGAACTCGGGATACAGTCTGGTATGCTCTCTAGCAAAAATATCCCAGATATCTCATATAAATCATATCTTTCATCCGTCGAGCAAGTTTTTAAAATTTAATCGCACAAGTAATTGTTAAATGATAATTGTAAGACATATTAATGAATTATTCAGAGACAAAATTAACAAGTAATTTCTAAGTGGCAAGTGCCACGCTCACAGGTATACACACACTTTTTCGCCTTAAGAATTAACTTCATTTTTTACCAACGTGGTAGCCTAATTTTAAAAATGACATTATGTTCATCCCATTTGGACCCATCTGGTTTGGGAGATATTTGCATTACATAATCAACTAATGAGTTATAATTGTAATTATTTATGATAACTTTGTAAGTGTTCAAAAGTTTAATTAATGCTGGTAAAACTTGCAAAGTATAATTCCTAACAATACTTTTATAAAAAACACCAAAACATAAGTTTCTTACGTGGTAGACTGTACTATAATGAGTGTTTGGTATAGTTTTTTATACTTATAACTTATGGGGGCCTCTCACTGAGGGGAAAATTAATAAAGCGTTATATATTAGTGTTAAGAAAGCTTACACATGTTATAGTAAAATACATTAATATTATGTTAACATAAAATAGTAATTTAATTAGAAACGTCATCGTGTGTATTATCTTTACTTCTTTACAGTAAGCTCAATTTCTAAAACTAGATCCTATCGTAGGAAACTGATATCAAATGATAATTAAAAAACAATGGACCAAGTATTATGTGCTATAATAAGTCAAATTCCTACAGCAACAAATAAAAAAGTAAAAACTGTTATAGGTATGCGCGGTCCGAGTAAAATAATACCTACGGCCTACTCAGCTTTCATTGTATTATCGTAAGTAGGTTGGTTGAATAATTGAATAATTAAGGTACTGTGTGTAAGTAAAATGTGTTGTATGCCAAATAGCAATATGAGTAATTCATGATGACTTAATGATATAATAAATTATTATTATCGAACGAATTATCAGTGAGAACGAATTTATCAGTGATACGCGTCAACAGCCTTGAAAAACCTTGAACGAATAGGTTGGCTCATGGCTAGCCGAAGTAAGAAATAAAAACCCAAATTTCCAGAATCCGGATTTTTGTTTGTTCTAACTTTTTAGTTCGGACCGGTTATATAAGTGTTAAACGTAGCCCGCGGTCACGCATAGTTCAATCTACGATACACTATACACCTTCACACGGGTACAAGCCACGGTACCCGTACCCGACACTCGTAACCCGTGGGCCGTGATCCGTGGATTAAGTTCGGCGTAATTCCTGTTCTCGTACGTCCCCGCACCCGCCGCCACCATCGGTTTACCTGCGACCACACCGGCGCCGGACGCGTAACGGCCATGCCGATTGGTCGCCGCTGACGTCATCTCACCCGAACGGGCCAATAGGGAGCGGCGACACGTCGGGCGGCGGGAGATTTCACCCGTCGTTGTGTCCATACACGTCGCACCGTGTTCAGCAGACTTCAGTGTTGATTATTATCGTTCCGAAGCTCGTGCGCACCACACGCCATCGTCTCGTTAACACTACCGACTGCTCATTAACTACATTGTCAGCGACCTGTTCGACACACAAGTGCACGTTGTCCATATCACCAGCTCGCAAACTCCTTGATCCAAAGGGACGTCTATACTCTCCAGTAGGACATACGCGACCATTTGAATATCGCCGAACTGCGTCGCAATACGCGTACACATTTTGGTAAGTCGTAGTCGGCCTCTATCCCCGCTGACAGTACCGTCAATTATTGTTCACTGTGCGTAGATTTGTGTTTGCTTCATAGTTTATAATTGTTAGGTTTTGGTCAAATCAAGACGATTCGAATTTGGTGGGATGTAGCCAGTGTCGATTATTGTTGTTGATTTTTTAGTTAGTAGGTTACTTTTGTTTAATTAACTCAAAATATAACGCCTTTAAAAGTTGTCATAGTACACCAACGACATGAAAAATACAAAATTTCGTTTCTCGAGTATGTAGGTAAATAAGTTACCAACCCAGTATATTTCTTTAGTATATACTCGCTGTGAACACTTGTTTAATACTATGCCTGGGCCACTGGCTATGTTTTTTTTTTTTATCATGATTTATAACTTGGTTATTATATAGTTTAGATTTGTTCGCGTGTATTAAAATAGAGCTGACGATTTATAGTAAAATTATCAATTAGAATGGCATTTGAACTATTGAACTCGTGAGCCATAGAACTGTGAATTAATGTAGTCAACAACTGGCTTGTGTGTGTGTGTATTCAGTTTTCCTATTATATTCCTTGGCTATGAATATTGCATAGGGCTGATGGGAATGGCAATTCATCAAGTAGTCAATTTTGTGTTGCTCATTTATTTTTTTTTTATTGAAAATAAAATGCTGTGTAAAATTTCAAGGCCAAATCAAATAATGGTTGAAATTATAACTTAGGTGTTTTAGTATTATTTATGCCATTTTGTGGCAAGTGCATGTCGTCTGTTGATAATAAATAGGCCATTAGTAGGTATGTGATTTTATTAATCCTTAATACATTAAATAAAAAAATGCTTAGAAATCTTATAAACTTGCGGTTTATACATTATGTTAAACCATTATGTTGCATAGGGTAAATATTTTATGGATTACTAATTTACTTATTGAGAAAATCCCAAATTACGTTTAAGTGAAAGTATCTTATTTAACAGCTCCTAGGGCTTCATCTACTGAGTAATCTATAAGGACTTTCTCCATAAATGTTTTATTCATTATACTAGTATTGTTTTTTTCTTCATATTAATAATGTTATATTTTTATATTTTATTAGGTGATTAGTAGCAAAAGAGTGTTGTCTCCTGTAAAAGGGAGGTAAAACCGTCGTGAATCAAAACCACCATTACTTTTGCAAAAACAAAAGCGAATCCCAAAGTGAGTATAAAAAGCATTAAACCGTTTTATAATATTTTTTGTATTTCATTGTGTTGTTTTTAACTTACAGACTAAGCCGCCATCATGTTCTACTGCATTGAATCCTGTGTTGTCTTCATGTCATGTCGAGAAAACCGGCACCCCAAACGGGAACATTCTATTATGCCAGTCTCCCAGATCGCAATCAGTAGCTTCGGCAACCAGTTCATGTTCAGTAGCGCACGATGCACCCATCAAAATGGAGGGCTTAGTGGATGAATTCTTAAATATGTGTGCTAATGGTAGTAGAGCTTGTTGTGAATCAATAATAATATGTTATACTTATTAATGGAATGTTTTTCATTTTTTAATTATCAGTGGAAGAACGTGATAGACAAGCACCTGGGATAATAAATTTAAACAACAGCACCAACGACATAAATATGTATAGAGATGAGCCGTTTTTGGATCTTTTTCAATTGGATTCGCCAACCATGTTGGCGCCGTTTATAACATCACAAAATGTATTTACCATGGAAGGCAATAACTGTAGGACCACTGACTCTGAGGTTAAACAAGACGTTTCTCTTAACAGCGAAGATTTCAAGCAACCGATTTCATTAAGAAAAAACTCAACTCTCCGTCTAGATATAGGATTACAGTCCATTCAGTCGACCAGTTATGGTGACGAGCTTAACACGCCAGAAGTTGTTAAAACATTGACCGAACAAGAATCAAATTTCAACCTTTTATCTTATGTTTTTGATGTAGGTTTACATTTAAATTGTTAGATACCGTTTGAAATTTGGTTAATATATCTATTTCTTTTAGGAAAAAAAATCTGACCATTTAACCGAAGTTCCAGCAGCTAAGAATGATACAGTCATGACTTCTCCACCTCGGTGTTCTCGTAAGAGACGCAGCAGCAACTCTTCAGCGTCTATCCAAACGGACGATGATGATTATTCTAAACACAGACGGCCGAATGAGGATAATTCGTCAGATGACAAGTATAGACAGCTAAGGGATCGCAACAATGAAGCATCACGCAAGTCTAGAGCTACTAGGAAGGCAAAGGAGGACGAATTGAACAAAAATGCCAACGAAATGGAGGCGACCAACAGACGACTTACTGTCAAAGCAGAAGAACTAGAAAAAATGGTCATCAACATGAGACAAGCCTTACTACAAATTATGACTAAAAAAAAATAGAAATGTTCATTTTAACTGTAATAGTTGGTTACAAATAGGCTCGTAATAGTATAAAAAGTGTTACTTGTGTGCTTATCTTACGAATATTTAATTTGAAAATATGTATTTAAATTTCTCTCACTATCAGTTGTTATTACTAACTTAGCTTATAATTTATAATTTTTAACAGGATATATTAATAATATAGTATATTATGTTAATTTAATTAGAGATTAATAAATGATTAATAATAGTTTACAATATACATTAAATTAATCTTTCAGTAAATAATAGTGTTGTATTTATTTAATTTGTATGTGTACAATCACAGGGTCATTTATTACAATATAATATATTATTATGACTGTGACCTCCGTTGTTATGCTTGCACAGCTAGGTCAAACTACAATGTCGTCCCTAATATATCCTACCTTTGAACTTTGATGTACCTAATACGCAGTAATTAAAATATTGATTGATTAAGTCCAACAATTAAAACTTATCCCTAACCTAAGATTTGTTTTGTAGTCTTCTACGCTTCACATGTTGTGTTTGGCCATATAATTATGTGGTAAAATATGTCATGGATAATTAATAAAAAGGTCTTGTTAACTGGTTTTGATATGGACCTGTAAAACCAGTCAAACTGGACTGCGACCGGCGCTTATAAATAGTTAATTTAATGTTTGGAATGCTTGAAACTTGAACGACTTAAAAAAAAAACATTTTTAAGTTAAATATTTAAATCTCAAGTGAAAAGACAAAGAATTCTAATCGGATTTTCTTTTGGAACTCATTAATTTACATATTTTACTGATACCCGACAAATTAATAATTATTGTTCAGTATTGAAGCAAACTGTGATAGAAATATTATCTAATAATAATATGGTACATAAGTACATTAGTCGTTCGTTGATTTTAAGAAATCGATTGCTTTATCGTTTTAATTGTTCACGAAATACGGATTAAGATAAAGAGTCGATTAACTCAAAAGAAGTCTGTGTTAATATTATTATTGTTAATTAATATACATGGAAATCGAACACTTGGGATATATTAATTGATGGAAACGATGATAATATGTTAATGACTAAACGAATAATTCACGAAAAACCAATCACACTTGTTTAAACTTAGCAGTTTGCACAGTGCAAGCTAATCCAATATAACAATCATATATAATATCTTATAATAAAACATTATAATAATATACACGTGCCGGTATTTTAGAAAGCGGGTAAACATATTTGCGATAAACGACTTTTGAGCATAATTAAAAGGTGAAAACTGGTTAACTTGATATTTATCGGATGTATTATTGTTTTTCTTAATGTTTCATTTATGTGCTGACGTTTCGGACCAATTGCTGAGTCCACATTCATGAAAATTAGTATAACAATAAATATTTAGTAATTAATTTTATTGTACAAACAAAATCTACACAGCTAATCAATTTTAAAAAATTGTACATCGATTATTTCAGTTAAGTGTTTTTATATTATCGTTGGAACAAGTAACAACATATTTAAGTCTATCGATTAATAAAACGGCCAAGTTCTTTTTCGCTCGACACTCACTCAGTTCATTGACATCACCAAGTATATTTTTTCTACTTTGGCATCTGGCCAGGCCAATGCATAGTTAAAAACTTAAAGATCGCCTCGTTTGGTTAGAAATAGTATATTAATTATTCTTTACAATATAACACGTTCCGATAAGGAAACTATTCTCAAATGATACACTACACACCAAACTGGAGATTTTTTTTATTTGATAACTAATACATTTTGTATATAGCCCGACAAATATATTTTTTATTTAATATAGTAAATAACTTAATTTACAGTATCAAATAAACGTACAATACTTATTAAAAATAAAAAAGTATGTTAATGCATTGTACCGTAACACTTTGATTACTGTTTCAGATACCAAATTAAGTTTACGATTTTATTTGTCTTCCAAATATATTGCCATTTTAAACAATTCGTTGTAAAAAAATGTATTTGATTTTATTACTTAAAGAATTTGTTTATTTGAACTGATAATTTCATTTATATATAAATAAAAATTTATATTAGAATTAAAATTAAACATGCGTTTAAATAATTTTTTTCTAATAAAACAAAGATGAAATGTGTATTATTTGAGTTTTTATTTAAATACTTTTTTTATTTTTAATAAGTATTTGAATTTGTACTTAAGTAATGTCCAGACTTGCTATACATGTTAAAAACAAAAAATGATGTAAGACAAATAAATAAATAAAGCCGATGATTTTTTAAATAATTTTATTTTAACAATATTTGATTCCTTAACAGAAAACAAGTCTTTAAAAGGTAACTTACACTATACATAGCTTGACACAAAAAAAATACATGAATGCAAGATCCTATTATACAAATTAGCCAAATTGTTCTAGGTCTAACGTAATTAGGCTATGGATTTGCAACTAAATATATTATATTTTTCTTTAAAATTTTCCGAATGGAAATTTTTCCTTTTTATTTAGTAATATTGGTGTAATAACAAAGTTTAACATTACAATATTGGTGTAATTTTTTTGGTCTATATAAAATATATTATTATAAATTTAATTGAAAGAAAGAAAAAAATCAAGCGACAAAAACATTTAATATGACGACTGACTTTAAGACTCCTGATTATTCAACTATATAGGAATATATTAACTTTTGAACCTCCCATAAAATCATTATGATTCAATTGGGGGAAATTCAACGTTGGACGGAGGAGGTTTAGTGATGACTAATGTTTTAGGGGGTAAATTAGCGTCCGCTGTTGTTCGAGGCACATGTTTCAGCGTTACTGCACGTATAGGCACCGTGTCGGGGGAAAGTGGAGTTGCTGGCACTTGAATGGTTTCGCCATTATGCATTGTCAACCACGTCATTTTTGTACCAGCATGCATACCATTAGCGTGCGATTTCAGCCCTTGAATGGATACATAACTTTTCCCACAGTGACATTTGTACTTCTTGTGGATTCTGAAATGTATATTATTTTTAATATTAAATACCTAAAGGAATTATTAATATACAAAAGTGTAACGGGGTTCACATACTTTCCATTTGTATGACCGTTCTTCACATGGTATTTTATTCCATTTACATTTTTATACCTTTTGGTACAACCAGGAACTGGACACGCAAATGGCCTAATTGGTTGTTCGGTTTTATTTTTTTGCTGAATACTAAAAACACGTTGATTAGAATACAGTTCTAATTACTTCATAACTATTTGGTCTTACTTAGAACCATTTTTGTTAGCTTCATCAATTGCATCAGACGTGGTAGACCATGAGTCACTACTGTCAGCAATATTATCGAGCCGATCTAAAGTTTCAGCTTCTCCTTTATCCGATTCATAACCTATTAAACATTGTATCATAAAAACACAATGTTCTAAGTGTTCTAATTATATTACAATAGCTACCGGTTTTCATGGGTCGAGGAAATAACAAGTCTGGGGCTGATGGTAAAATACTGGATTTTGGTTGTAAAACTGGTTCGGCTGGTGCGATTACTGTTTTGTCGGCATTCTCGCCGAAAAACCGCATTACGCAACTGAGTGGTAAACATTGCTGTTCGGTTCGATCAATCAGCTCGATTGGCTTGGGTTCGGTATCTATGTGTCAAATCCAAATGAATATTATACAAATCTAAACATCCCAAATAGTAATCAGATTAGTTAACGACAAAGTGAAATTTTAATACGTATATCTTCCAAGTGCTTCTATAGTATTCCAAGTAATCAGAACATTCATAATTACCGTAATAACTATTTAGGTAACATTCAGACACAAGAAAGGTTACTAATTACAAAGTAATAATTAAACACAGCTAACCTTACAGTGTAATAAAAAACATCTAGGAAACCTTTTGAGCTGAATAGCCGAGATATTACATTATTATTAAATAAATCTAGACACACTGATAAAATATTTTTACTATTAGGTAATTACACACTTATAAAGGCTGGACAGTGGGACAACTGTCAATTTTAAAATAGCACCATTAGATTATACGCGCAATTGTAATATACGACTAATGCCGCCCAAAGTCCAGTCGGATTACACCTTTAACGCCATGTCCCAGGCCCCGAAATGGCCAAGTATCGTTAGTATGTCGGCTAAACATTGTCAAATGAGGGGCAAATATTAAAAATCATTGTAGTCCTACATTGAGGATCTTTGGAAAACAAATTCCTAGGTACTTAAGTAGGTACCTGCGAAGGATCTAAATTTAAATCAATGTTCAATTAGGTCACTCAAGTATGACAACCTAGCGGCGGCGGTGGAGGCAGCACCCGTATTAATAGTTTAGAAAGGTCATGGTACTATCTGTTATGGACGGCGTAAAAAAAAATCTAATGCGCGCAAACCACGTTTCCTATTAGAATATCCAGCAGCCACCCTCAGGTGCGTCTAACATTTACCTATGTGATTGTCTTCAATGTGCTGTATGAGATCGTATAGGTTTTTGAAGCACAGGCCGCAGTTGTTGAATTTACATTCGTTTAACAGGAATACGGCCATTTATCCAGCAGCTGAACGAAAGTCACACAGGGCCCTGGTTGTTAACAGTATGATTATCAGCTGATCACTACTGGGCTACGCGCCCCTCCAGTCGCTGGCCGTCTGACGACCGTACAGCTGCTGTGTCCCGCACTACCGCCCCCGTTCACGTCGTCGACACGGCGCGGCCCGAACGCGTTGGTCAAAAGTCGTTTCTACGCTCGATAACAAAAAATTGTTATTGTAACAATATAACGTTATCACAGTTGTAATTATTTTGACACTAGTAATTAGTAATTACTAATAAGTAAATATATATTTTATAAACTATATAATATTATGTATATCTAATAAAAAAAAAATTGAAGCTAAAATTGATCGATGGCAACTTGATGTCTCACGTGACGTTTAAAATTCCCACGACACGGTGGAATTGGAAAAAAACTAACGGGATCGACTTAATAATATAGCATTATTGCGAAAGATGCACTTAGGGTTTACGACTAATAATTATTAATGTTGTAAACCGTCCCGACTTCTGAGCGCGAGCGCGCCGTAACTTTTTGCCATATTGATTGGAATAGCAGTTAATTTCTATTGTGGGAGGCTTTATACAGACGGAAGGGGGGGGGGGCGATCGATGGATATATAATAAATATGAAACAATGTTTTATGAACATTTTACATTAGGACGACGACTGCTATTGTAACGACCCCGGGGGGAGTGCCTGTGGATAATTATATAATATGGCTTATAACTATTCGCAGTAAGATTTATCGATTGAAGACTGAAGTGCTGTGATTGGGTTATGAAAAAATTAATTAGAATATAATATTAGATAAAATGATAGCATGTGATGATATTGAAATCGTATTATACGGCAACTATACATATTTTGAGATGTTCAATAGCAATGTCGCCATTAAACCAGTGTATCATTAATTACAACAAGTTAAAATTTTTTTAATTTATCTATTTTCGTCCAGAGAATTTGCTATTTTAAAAATCACTAAAAATTTGTTTATTATAATATAATGCTACAGATATTGAAAGACAATGTAGAATATCCCCTCTAAGTAAAAGACCTAACTATAATGACTCCGTATTCTTACATAAGCTTCTAAGCGGATCGGTAGCTGTCCTGAGCTTTTGCACCTAGTAATCTTAATTTATGCTATGTTATACATAGCCCCATCAGAAAGATTTTGAGTTTGTGTAATGAATTCTTATCAGATTTTGATTTCTTTTTTGACAATAGACTCAGTCTAAAAAGATTGTTAAATGTTTTTTAACAAATTTTACTATATTTATTGTCTATTACTTTTTTATTATTATGTTTACTTATATTATTCATTATGTTATATTATAATACTATATTATCATTTATCTGTACTATCTGCCCTCGCGGGCTTTAAAAATCTATTAAATAAAAATAATGAATCGGCAACAAGTAGTCAATACTTACCGAACTTTAAAAGATAGATAAAGTCAGTTTTTTCGAAAATGAAAACAATTGAATAGGATTAATTAAAATATATATTATTATTATCTAATAAAAATAATTATTACCGATTTATTAATACATTTAAGACATAAATATCAATTGCAGATATTCATTATTAGTGTAATTATTATTTAAGCATTTTTTTTGTTCAACAGTATTTTTTGATATGTGGTGTATTTAAAGAGACGGAGAAGGGGAGGGTCAGGGCAGTTTTTTTATTATTAGCGTTTATTAAAACTGAGCCTAAAAGTTGAAGTTTTAAATTTACTTCAACAGGAAACGCATCTAATGACTAAAGTTGAACACAAACGTACGAAAAATAAATTATTATTTCACCTTAGCCGCAGTATCTAATTTAAGTGTATGATGAATTTTGTCCGACCTTAGAATGATTAGGTTAAATAACTAATAAGTCAGTTAACTAGAATATTATGTATTCGCATCGCTTAGACGGCTTTCGTCACTGAATTCGTTCGACCGAATGGACCGAAGGTCATCGATGTATAACAAATTTATAGTGAAATAATTAAACATTTTCGGTAAACTAATAAGGGAAAAAATTTTAGATATTCATTTACATTATGATGATATTGTAATTGTCCGTTTGATAATACGCTTTCAAAAAAATTGTAATTTTTATTTAATGTAATCAAAATTATTTTTTAATTAATAATTATCCTTCTGGTAGCACACCTGGTAGACATAATAACTTTACTTAAGCCATTTTTAGTTTTTGTCTATATCAAATATAATATGTTTTAAATTATTGGAAGTGTGTGTGCGTGAAGATTTTTTTTTTTATCAAATAGGCGTTTCAACGTTCTTTTATATTAAAAAAAAATCGGTTTCACATAAAAGTTTAATGTTAAATTTTGGCGGCAATCCGGAGCTACAATCGCGGTTACCGGCCGGCACCGGAGCTTTTAGTAACCGCTACCGGTACCGCGATCAGCTGGCTGGATTTTGACTAGCGCGGTGGCGACGTTGCCGCGTCCACTGGGGCCGCGTTATCCCATTGGTCGGCCGGATCGCGGTTACCCGAGCCGCCGCAATGCCGCACGACCCGGTCACTCAGTCGCCGTGTGTATCTGTCCTGTTTGTCTATCATTCTTTCTCGTCGTTGCTTTTCCATCACCGTCTGTACGGCTCCACATTCGGTAAGTTTACCATCAATTTATTTAAGCTTGCTCGTATGTCGTTCGTTTTTGAAATTTCCTTCGATCGCTCGGTTTGTTATTAAGCCGGCAGGATTTCAACCATCGCTTAGTCAGGCTATCTGAAAACTGCTACGTTAGCTCGGCCGCGGTCCGCCATCTTTCCTATCCGGGTCACGCCTTGTATTGCTTGCCCGGCGAACTTGTCGGCTTTCCGTTCCTCTCTGGTTCATCCGCCGTCGACTCTGGCAAAGTTCCGTTTTGGCCGTCTTTGCTATTTACGACTTTTCGAGTATTCACCATTGGCCTGTAGATTCGTTTGCACGTACCCTCCCCCGTTTGCCCTTGCCAAAGGTTAAATCCACAAACACGAGGTTAATTGATTGATTTCTTGTTATTTTATAATTGCAGATTTTTAGCTAACCAGCTCAACTAACAGAAAACCACACTATACAAAAATGTATTCCTTAGCCAAAGCCGTTGCACCAGCTGTTCGCTCCGCCGTAAGTATTAGCGTTTATAATATTCTATTTGAAGATACCTACCATTCAATAGTAGTTGAATGGTAGGTATCTCGTCTATTGAGTACCTAGTTTTCTGAAATCATTGAGACCAGGTAACTAATTTGTTGTTGAGTGTAACATTTAGGGTGACATTATATGTTAAATGGGTTAAGGTGACTACAAGGGCGTTGACTTTTACAAACCAGAGAAATATTTCAAAATTTTGTCAATACCTAGGTGCTCAATATAATATGTTTTAAAGTTTGGATATACTTACAGCTCACAAAAGTTAACATCTTGCTAACCAGTTACTAAAGGAATAGCTATTTCGTAAAATGTTAACTTCTAACTTTACACAGTATATTTTCATGTAAAGTAATTTTTAATGAGTATGATTAATAATATTGATAATAATCCATTTTTCTCCTCTTAAATATATAACAATTCATAATACATTTTTATAATTTTTACATTATGTATTTAGCTCACGAGAGAATACACATACATATTTATATTTCAAAGCTATCATAAAAAACTGATATGTATTAACTGAAAATTGGGCCTATTGTATGCATTTATTTTACCATAAGCTCTATTATTAGTGTCACCTACCCATTAACACTTAACTTCTTTCTTTCATCAGTTTCACCAGTTAGTAAAGTTTTTTTATGTCACTTTTAACCTTGAGGTTATACTATTAATAACAAAGGTTATGTTCCTTTTAGTTTGACCAATTTTTCAAAAATTGTTATATAATGCAATAAATTAAGATAATTATTTGATAAGCTGATTTTTTGTATTTCTTTAAGTTGCTCTTCATGAGTATACAGAATTTCTTATTTAACTATATTAACTTTTAAAATAGAACATAAGACGTCAACATTTTTTTGTACACTAAAAGAAAAGAGTACCCAATTGAAAATCTGTACATGTTTAGCTTAGTTATAACAGTTCAAACTCAAAAAAAAATTGTTTAAAAAGTAGGTTTTTTTGTAGTTATATATAAGTTAGGTTATCTTATTCTATTTGAGTTGATCAATCTCTTTATTATAATAATGCATCTGAAATTTTCTTAACCTTTGGACGATCGCTTAGGCTTACACTTATACACAGCTTTTTTTTGAAAAAAAGCAATATCTAAATGTGTGAAACCAAGCTTGGTTAAATTGTCAGGTATCTTTAGTTAAAATAAAGAAATCTCCACTCAAGGTTAAAAACTGTATGAATGCTGCTGTGCGAGCAATGGTGAAACTTTCAAACATGCGAGCGCTCATATGTTAAAATGCCATTTATATTAAGAGTATACATATTTTATTCAGTGTTAAGAAAAAAATTAGCGATTGCTCTTGAGCGGTTAGCAGTAGGGTACTATGAGGAACTCTATCGTTAATACCAGGAAGCCAGTTTCCGTTTTAGTGTATATTGTTTAGCATAAAATATATATCAAAGTATAAGTTAGGTTAATTAGTGATTATGTCTGATAATTTGCCAGCTAACTAAATTTTTAAGCTTGAAATTTTGTTATGTTTTAATATGATATAATATAATGGATGGATGAAATAATAATTCAATTTATACCTTTTAGATCCTTTCCAACTCCAGGGCAACTTTTGCCAGGCCAGTCAGTAGCATTGTGTCGAATGGACAATGCACACAATTGCAACAAAACACACAACAAACTCCGATTGTACCCAATGGCAGTTTGGTAAAATTATTATAATATTTAAAAATGCTAGTTAATTTTAATTAAAAATTTTTAATTTTGTATTTAAATAGCTAAATTCAGTCAGAGGATTCCAAACCAGTGTTGTGTCAAGAGACATTGACTCTGCTGCCAAATTCATTGGTGCTGGAGCTGCCACCGTAGGAATTGCTGGTTCAGGTAATATTTGTTGTGGTTCTGTCTTGCTTTGCATAATTAGTCTTAACTCGATTGCTTATCATTAGCTTTACCACATTTTGTTGTTGAGTTTGCCCGACACTAGTTTTCATAAGTACAAATAAATAACATACCACTTTTGAGGCTATAACACGACGTGATTTGAGAAAAAAATACTAATATAAGTATTCCATATACATAACATTGATGTATTCAATTTTTTAATTCATATTTTAAAACATATTTAACATGTAATTATTATTCATATATTTATCATTTTAGCTAACAAAAAGTATTATTTTCAGTAAGAATTCTTGACAATTTTTTTTTAGCAAATTTTAGTTTGATTCTATGACAATGAAGTTTTTAGCTAATCAAAGTAATATCATTTGTATAATTTTTCATCCCATTAGGTGCTGGAATTGGAGTGGTTTTTGGTTGTTTAATGTTAGCTTATGCACGTAATCCGTCATTAAAGCAACAATTATTTTCATACGCAATTCTAGGATTTGCTTTGGCAGAAGCAATGGGTCTTATGTGTATAATGGTTACATTTTTGATGTTATTTGCTTTTTAATGTTTTCACTGGTTTGTATTTTATGTACTGTGTATTTTTACATTAATGGTTTTTGTTATTGCTTATTAATTGTAACTATAATATTAATAATAATAATTTACATTGTAACTTAAATTATGATAAGGTTAATATATAATGATTAAAATTACAAATTGCTTAGAGAAACTAATTTCTTTTTTCATTCCTTAGTATCCTAGTTTCTATTATTAATATATATTTACTTTGCTTTTATTCTTGTAAGTATATCCAAACCACCCTTAATCATATCCTTAATGTATTCTATCTTGTTTTAACAACTTGAATGTTATAACGATGCAACATTACTATTAATATCATTACAATTACTTTTCGTTAAATTTTTTCAAAACCCTAAATGACAAATTAATATTGTATAATTGGTGTAATTTTTGCATTGTATATAATTATAAAAAATATTTTACTGAAGTTCTATTCAACAAAAACTAATTTATTATTTACAATTTTAAATTGTATCACAAAATAAGTTCTGATAAAAAAATGATTACTCTATTTTCTGTATTTGCATTTTATGCGTTTTATAGCTTGTTACATTAAATTCTATTTACCAAGCAGATTGGTGTCATTATGCTTATATTTATAGTTTTTTTATTTACTATTTTACTCAAAATAGTTGTAAATATTAGTTTATAAATTTAATATTTATACATATTGCAAATATCATTGATTTTACTTCTGAGATAGATGTTTGTGTTTTCACCCTCATTGCTTGCTTTGTTATCACATTATTTAAGTTTGTTGCTTGCTGCTCCTCATAAGCATGGTTTGGAATTGTTTGGTTAATGGTACAAATGAAGATAAGCATACAGAAATGTAAGTTTAAATTTTACTTGGTCATTGTTAATACTTTATGTATATTATTGATGAGGTTTTCACAATAGTAAGTAGAAATAATTGTCTAAACCTTGTTAATACGTATGTAAATACAGTATGGCCCAAAGGTCGTCTCGTGTCATTTATTTCACAAGTATATAATAGTTTAATTATTTAAAAAATTGTACATTACACATTTTTGTTATGTGAAACATCTTTTTTTTTTTAAACAAGTTTCAATTAATTGATATGACATGACAATTTTGGGAACATTTAATTTAAATAAAATTGTTTTTTAATGCATTACCTTGTAATTTATGGTGCATACATGGGTTTTTATTCATTCTTCATTGGATGTTTAGGTATTTTTTTACCTGATGATTCTAATTAATCATGTACACTATAATGCTATTGATAAATATTATGTTTTGTAAGTGTAAATTTCGAAGTAGAACTAATTTGTTTATTTTACATGTTATCAGGTGCTGGAATTGGAACAGTATTCGGTTCTCTAATCATTGGTTACGCACGTAATCCATCATTGAAACAACAGCTTTTCTCCTATGCCATTCTTGGATTCGCCTTGTCAGAAGCTATGGGTCTCTTCTGTCTTATGATGGCGTTCTTACTGTTGTTCGCTTTCTAAGTTGTCTCATATTGTCGTCTTTCGTTATTCGTTATAAGAAAAAAAAAACATCCAATATTATAAAACCAATAATTATAAAAATTGCTGTTCAAAATTGGCACGACCGGAAGAATCGCGAAAGACTGTCGTCTGTGAAATACACATAGGGAACTTACCTGTTATATTAATAGATAATAATAAAAGTAATTTTAAGAGACAACACGCGACGGGTGTTTGCAGCCTCATATTGTAGACTTAAAAAACGCCTAGGTCGAATGATTATTATTTGTATGGTTTTTCCAAATATGTTTTTCACAGATGTATAAATAGAATAAATACTTATTGTAGAATCCATTTATTTATTCCTTTTTTTTATTATTAACGCCATTTATTTAGAATCTGTTGGTGAATTTGTCGCAATTTTAAAACAACCAACTAAATTTCAGCTGTTATCAAATTTGGCTTTAGGTACCAATGTTAAATGTTTTCTATGAAACGTAATATAAATAAAACATTTGAAATTATGTTAAGTGTTTTAGTATTTTTACTTGTTCAAACGATAATAATTCTTATTTAATATATATATATAGAGTAAAAAAAGTAAAAAAAAATCGTGCACTACAGCAAATACACTATTTTCTGCAGCATGCAAAACAATAGTTCAATGTTGTTCATATGAAAAAACAAAGCCGTTGATCTATATATATATATATTATACATTTTGATTTTAAACTATACACCCTCTTAATTTGGAAAAAAAACTAGTAATAATTATGTACATATTTAATGACGTTTTGATTAATTTGTTTATGATAGGAGATACTCGTTTTATAAAAGATTTATGGTAGTTAACTGGTAATAATATGATATAGATTTATTTATTAGAGGCTTTTTTCAATTATTTGACATACTACAATGAAGCTGGCACAAAGGTCAAAGGATATTCGTTTGTGTCTACGATATGTTAATTAGTGATGGGTATTCGGATTTTCACAAAAAAACGCTATTTAAGTAAGCCGCTTTAAAAACTTAAGTATTAAAGTTTATTACAATGTAAAGCTGTATACCTAAGTAAAAAATTGTTTTCAAGAATATTTTTAAATTTCGGATTAAGCGTTTTTTTTTCATTAAAACATGTTATTTAAGTTTATAGCTTTATATTGTAATAATATTTAATTTTTGATACGATTTTTAAGTGACAAAAATAGTATTTTTTTAATCCGGATTTTCAGATTCCTCTTACTAATTTGTATAATGTAGAGGATGTATTGAGAATAACGATTTAAAATTGCGTAATTCTCATGAGTAAATAAATAATTGGTTACCTATATTATGTCATTAACAAAGAACAAGTGTAATTTGTTGTAAAATAGTTACTCGGGGAATTATAAATAAAATATAATTTAAATAGTCATCAGTTTTTTTTCACGGGCTTTTAAAGTTACAATAAAACAATAACTTTAATATTAGACATTTTTTAAAATTAATATATTATGAATTTGTGATGAATTATTATCACGTGAACTGACCTATCCGGGTAATTTGCGACAAGTCGGCAGATAAAATTCAGATTATAATTATTTACATAATATATTGTTTCATGCATATAATAATAATTAAGTTTATCGTGCTATAAATGATACTAATTAAAAATATAATAAACGATTACTATACACGTCCCCCTTGCTAGACGCGAGACAATTATCCGTTTATAAAGTAATATGTTTGTTTTAGCGTTGAATTTTTTTTATAACATTCCTATTTTGGCGATTGTTTATTATTATACACAATTTAGCCTTACAAACTTCAATCAGTTCATGACCTGTTTACTTGTATATCCCACTCTCAAGTTGGCCAAGTCTATGTGCAACTGTTTCAGCGTTGGCAATGTTTTAATATCTTGGTAACTGGTGGCTCGCACTGCAGCTGGTGCCGTCAGCAGTGGTTTCTTATCATTAGTGACAGTGTTAGGCCAATCAATGTGAAAATCTTTTTCTTTTTTTATCAACTTTGGACTTTGAAGGGCAAGGAGCGAGGCAATTTTCTCCAAACGATTAATAACAAGTCAATATTTGACTGATTACTTTTTAACTGTCGATACCTGTCTGAAGAAAATGAGCAACTTAGTTACCAAGAGTTCGTACGTTTTGGAAACTTTAGGCAAAACCAGTCCGAAGGTGAGTACCGTATCGAAAGTCGCTTTGCTCGTATAGGTATATCTGAAAAAACTATTTATTACAGTCGCCACCATTTATTTTGTCCACAGTTGTTTGCCGCCTCTTTACAAGCGAGTCCGCATTGGAGAGTCAGTCAACCACGTCGTCATCTCAATGTGCACGAACACGTTAGCTACTCGCTTTTGAAAGGTGCTGGCATACCGGTACCCAAATTTGGAGTAGCGAAAACCAGCCAAGAGGCAGCCGATTTGGTAAGCAACTTGGGCCTGACCGATATTGCCATCAAAGCCCAAGTTTTAGCCGGTGGACGTGGTTTAGGTCATTTTAAAAATGGATTTAAAGGCGGGGTGAAAATGGTCGAAACGTACGTTTTACAAACACGCAGTTATTTCATTAATAATGATTTTAATAGATGTTGTGATTTTTAGAGCTGAAGAAGCTGAAAAGGTATCCAGTCAGATGATAGGCGATTATTTGATTACTAAACAAACTGGAGAAAAAGGTCTTATTTGTAATGCCGTAATGGTGGCTGACCGTGTTTATGCAAGGAAAGAATATTATTTCGCTGTTATGATGGAGAGAGCTTTTGGGGTAAAAATATAATGATTTAAACAAAAACTTTTATTGTGGTATAATATACTTTATCATGCTAATTTTATAGGGTCCTGTTTTAATAGCCTCTTCTCAAGGTGGTGTAAATATTGAAAAAGTTGCAGCAGAAAACCCTGAGGCTTTATTTTATATGCCAATAGATATTACGCAAGGTAATTAATTTTTTTTAGTTTCAAATCTCAGCTAGAGCCATGACGTATATAAGTTAAGTTCATAGTGGCTCCAAATGAGTTGTTTTGTGATGTATCGTGTATTATGCTCTTGAACGTTGATTATTTTTTAAAACTGTGACCTAATGTAAGTGAGTACTGTAAGTACTCGACCTTCAAATTGTTTTTTTTGTTCTTTTTGTGATTTGTAGCAAGCACCACAATTATTATATTAAAATGTCATATAATTCGAAACTTTATACTTGGCCTTATGTTGGAGTTGAACTTCCTATCAAATATGCATTCGCATGTGTGAATGACGTTTTAAGCGTATCGCATTTCCGGCAAAGATTAAAACAACTTTATTAAAGGGTAGCTTTTAAAATTGTCTTAATTAATTGATTTTTATCAAATTAAATTATTAATTATGTAACACGGAAATAATTGAGTTCTTAAAATTTAAACCCAATTTTAAAATACTTATAAAACAATATTATTACATACTCTTTATAACTGTACTCGTTGATTATTCAGATTACGCACTTTGGTTTTCACTTCTAAAACTATTATGCACTGACATCGGTACAACATTAAACTGCTTATATTTATTAAAGGTTTTGTTTTAAGAATAAACATTAAATTTATTGATGGTTACACTGCTTAAGGGTCTAAGCGTCATTTTTCTTTATTTTCAGGAGACGGTTTTTTGGTGATTTTTAAAATCCTATTTATGAGCAGAAAGCAGTAGTTGTTTTTATCACTGATATCAAATTTAAATTGTTAGTTAAATAATGGTCACGGCTGTTTTTACGAATGCGCATTGGATAAAGCATATTTTTCTCTATCTGAAAATTGAGCAAAATTGCTTAGACCAAAAGTGTTGCATAGACTTTTTGCCGTGTAATTATCGATATATATATATATATTTTTTTTTTACGATCTGTTAGGTCAGTTGGACAACTCTTGCTCTACTAGAGACAAGAGTTGCCATCCTGGAGAAGTGGGGATAACTATCAGTATAAAATAATTCATGTAAATTCTTAAAATTATAATATGATGACTTTTTAAGAGAAACTTGTTATTTTGTTTGTTTGTAGGTATATCCAAAGATGTAGCCTTGGACGTTGTTACCAAAGTAGGATTGACAAAGCAAAAAGAAGAAACGGCCGATATTATATTGAAATTATATGATCTGTTCATCCAGAAAGATGCACTTCTAATCGAAGTCAATCCTTACGCTGAAAGCATTTCTTCGGGAGGATGTAATTAAATACGAAATAGTATTTTTTATAAATTTTACCTCGTTTAATTAATATTATTTTGTTAGATTTCTGTTTGGATGCTAAATTTCGTTTTGATGACAATGCTGAATTTAGACAAAAAGATTTGTTTGAATTGCGTGATAGGACTCAAGAAGACGAAAAAGAAGTGGAAGCTTCAAAGTTCAATTTGAACTACATTGCTCTTGATGGTTAGTGAAGTTCCCTTGTTAACTTTAATTTTTATTAATTGTTTATGCCGTTTTAAAATAGGAACTATTGGTTGTCTGGTGAATGGTGCTGGTTTAGCGATGGCAACTATGGATATTATTAATTTACATGGTGGAAACCCGGCAAACTTTTTAGATGTCGGAGGTGGTGCTACTGCTACCCAAGTAAAAGAAGCCTTCAAAATCATCACTTCTGATCCTAAGGTATCAAAAATGTCTAAATTACTTATTCGACATTACCTATGAAATTGAGATATATTTTCATTGGGTTTTTTTTTTTATTAAAACAGGTGTGTGCTATTATGGTAAATATTTTTGGAGGCATAATGAGATGTGATATTATTGCTGAAGGAATTATAGCTGCAGCTCAAGAGCTAAACCTTACCGTGCCGATCATTTGCCGTTTACAAGTAAATAGAATATCATACACAATTTTTTTATGCAATGTCAACAATTAAAATTATTAATATTTTTATTATTACCCTACTAAAAAATATTTTGAACCATTGAAACATGATTCGTTTTAAAAATGATGTTTAGTAAATAAAAAAAATAAAAAAATATAAGAAAAAAATTTAGTGATGTAAAATTTTTTTTTATGCATAATTTGAATGAAATAATTTTTACCATTATACTTAATATTATTTTCAAAAAAAATTTATTTTGAAAAAAATGTAAGAAACTAAAAGATAAGATGCATTAAATTTGTTGTATGTTTAAATTTATAGGGCACTATGGTGGATGAAGCAAAATTGTTAATCGCTCGATCTGGTATGAAAATCTTACCAGTAGATAATCTTGATGAAGCAGCCCGTTTAGCTGTAAAATTATCTGAAATTGTGAATTTGGCTCGTGAACAACATTTAGGTGTAAACTTTGAAATGCCTATTTAAGTAGTTGTAGACGTATATATATATATAAAAAAAAGAACACTATTGTTAAAATATATATAGTATTTGTATCCCTTAAATTTCCCAAAGTATTACTCACTGTAGACTATATATTCATATCTTCATGCTATACTTTTATATCAAAATACCATTTTTTTTTTAATATTATTTTTCATTTTTCATTATGTGACATTTTTAAATTAAATGCTTTCAATATTACTATTTGTTATTTTTTTAACTCTTCCACTGAAATGTAATGCACAAACTTCTAAATTTCTTGGTTAGTTACCTGTATTAAATATATTTTAATTATGTTTGGTTAATTTAATAAATTTACTCTTGGCCAGTCACAAATTGGTTAAACAACAAAAAAATTCCTATCTGTACATTTTTTTTATTTACACAATGAATAAATTAAAAAATAAGTTTAGTAAAGATAAGTGTAAAGTGCGTATGATATAAAAAATTGTTTTGACGGTGAGTTTCTGTGTGTTGTGTCGCCTATGTATTTAAGAAATGTAACATTTATTTTAACTTACTTATTTATTCGATTAAAGCTAGTCTTGCTTTGTTTTGTATTTTCTTTTTTTTTCATTAATATTTACGGCTGTACTTATACATCATAGTAAACCATTATTTAATAACAATACTAATAGTTTTAATAATAATATAATATTATTATTGTTATTGATACTTCATAAATTGTTGTAATTTTTCATATTTGTTATTATAAAATAAATTATAGTATAACTCTAATTTGATTTATTCTGTAATCTTGTTTTTTTTTTTAAGCTTACAGAATTTTATTTTGTACCCATACTACAACAAAATCCTACTACAGTTGATCGATATTTAATAAAAAGCAATATTTATACTTTCACTCGTGAATGTTTAATAAACAAAATGAAAACGAGATGTTTGCATTAGTACATAATGTATCATACGATTATATTAAAATTAAATTTATAGGTACTAATCAAATTATTAGTATTTATGACTTGAAACTTATATGGCTTACAAAATACCAAAGATAAACGTTTTGTAATCGACAATTGCTATTTTAAATGCAATATAGTGTACTGCTTTGGCTCTGTAAGTTAGTTATTAAGATTCCAATTTTGATATTTAACTAATGATTTTAATGATGAACTAACATTTTTTATTAAGGGCTTTCAGCTTGGGCCAGAGATGCATCTAGAAAAAAAAACTTAAAATACATAAAACTATAATAGCAATAGTCATAGATTTAAAGTTTACCTATAATATTTCAATAGTATTCTAATATATTATATTATGTTATACAAAAAATAAACATTAAATTACACAAAATATGCTCATAGTTTAAGTACATAAAGAAAGGGGCTTCAGCCCTCGTAGCCTCCCCTTGTATCCACCCAGGGCTTGGACTTTTTGACCTATCCAAATGTCATATTATGCGGACTTGTAATTAATACAAAATATCTATACAGGGCGTGTCACACGACACGATGTTCGATGATCAAACAGATTTATACAATATTACCTTCATTATATTTTTGTTTTATTTTATTGCTTTCTTATTTGTTCTAATCGGTAAAAATTAAAAAATATTATAATTAATATGTTTCCACGAAATAAAAGTATTGTAATATTTATATTATTTTCAACGACAATTTCATGGAAAGTAATACAAAGCCAATTTTTTCATGGACAAAAGTAAGCATTTATGCTTGTTATTATCAGTATTCATATCACTATCATTGCATTGTTTTGGTTTTAGAATACTACTGTATATTATTCTGTACTTTAAAGTTCGAACAAAAAAAAAAAAAAACAATATTGTTTATTTTAAATAGGTCTTTTTTTTTAAACAATAACTGTACTAGTTTTAACTACATTCTTGTTCAGTATCAAATCTGCAAGTAACAATAAGTAAATGTAAGTACTATATTAGCCGAAGGACGAATTACTTTTGGCTTTTAAGCTGCTACTCAAAACGAGGGCATATGCAAATTAATTTAAAAGTAGTTTTTGTAAAGTATTTTTTGTGTAAGGAAGTTATCTCTAAAAGTCAGTATTATTAGCACAATAATATTGAAAGTAACTTTTTTGTTTTTTGACATGTCATACTAATAGCCGAAACATTGTAAATTATACCTAGCTATTCTTTATACTTAGTAATGTTTTTTTTTGTTATCTGTTTATTTTAAATGTTTTTCTAATTGAAATGTCAAACAAAAACAATTATAAGTTTGTATTTTGTATGCAAAATAAAACTGCATGTTTTTTCTAAATGAATTTATGACGTCATTGTCATATTACTGTTATTACTAAAAAAAAAATGTGTATATTTATACGTATTGTTAGTGAGTGTTTAACGTAGTATAGCCACGCTACTAATAATTATCTTTTCCAAAAATGATTGAATATATTTTTGTATGAGAGGCGAAGCATTAGTTTTGTCCTTAAACCTTTTTTTCATTAGTCTTACAATAATATACCTAATAATCTATATTATAATATTTTAGATTCCTTGCTTCAATTGAGTTTAAAGAATAATAACAAGAAATAGCCCATTAAGACATGTTGTCTACAGGTATAGTAGTATATTATTTATTTGTAAAGTATAGCTTCTTATTTTAAGGATGTACATAAAATATTTGGACTATTTATATAAACAGTATATGAATACGTATTTTACAAATATTTTATACGCAGAGGCGCCCAGTAGTATACTTATGTCATATGGTTGCAAGGAAATCGAATTCGGAAGTGTCAAGTGGGGTAAATTTAAACAAATATGGAGAATTTAAATGCAATTTTTGTCCTAATTATTGAATTATTGGTTACATATCACAGTTTAACCTTAAAATTAAAAATTACGTTATACCCCCTATTAATTAAGGAGTTAGGTGTAGACAATTTTTTACAAAATCTCATTATAAAAGCTTAACTGTGATGTGTAATTATTAGTTCAGTAATTAGAACTCATTTTTGGGAGTTGATTTTTCCCGAACTATCAGCATCCATGACAGTGACTTAAAACATTTTTTTTATCTAATATAGCTACACAGAATGTGTTTTACCTGGTCCATAGTGATTTTAGAGCAAAAACACTTATTTTAAAATCAAAAGATAACTAATTATCGGAAACAATATCATATCAGATTTTGAAAATAATAACGCTAAAATGTTATAGTTATTTACACACCTTGCGGTTACTCCCATTTGAATTATCTTGAATGGTTCGCTAACGTTTCCACGTAGACCCAGAGCCCTGAAGATGGAACATGCAAGTGTTTCAAAATGTTGGCGATCCAGTCAAGATAATCAAATGGGAGTAACCGCAAGGTGTGTAAATAGTGTAAATATAATACCCCATTCAAGTTTTAATAATCTGTTATAGTTATTTAAAAAAGTAAAAAAAATGTGTAATTGTTAAATATTAGGTTTATCAAAAAAAGGATATAAAATTGTCTCTTAAATACTATCATCTTTTGTTTCAATAAAAGTATTTTTGCTCTAAAATCATCACGGAGCAAATAAAATGCATTCTGCATAGATATGTTTTAACATTAAAAAATTGAGTGTATAACATCCTCTTAATCAATCGAAAATACGGCAGGTGTGGCCTTTTCTTTTCCCTACATTTTTGTACTCATAAAAAAGACAACTGTTGTATTTGTATATTATGTAACATTTTTTTTACATTTTACAATGATGACGATTAAAATGTTTGCACGGACTGCAAAACTAGTTCATTACAAAAATTCTGTTCTAGAAAATTTGTTTGTGCAATTAAAAAGAAAATAGGGGTGGGTACTGGTCAGTTGCAAACCAAAACGTTTAAAGGGAATTCAAAATATTATGCTTGTGCGTTACTGTGTGCATGTTCTAATAAAATATTCGCTTACTCGTGTATTAAATACACAAATTCACAAGATTGGTCAAAAGTCAAGTTTTTACATTTGTTATTATAACTTTAGTTCTACATAATTTTAATAAAAAAATACTTAATTATATGTCATAATAATAATTATTGATTATTACTATTATTATAAATTAAATTAATTTTGATTTTATTAAAATAGAAGCAAAATTATACATTTTTATTTATGAAAAAAGTATATTTTTTGATTTTAATGAGAATGATAATTATTGTACACACTTTTATTATTTAAAACTATATGTTGTAATATTAAAAATGTATAAACATAATTTTAAACAAACAATATATCATATTTTTCAGTTATGACTAATGACATTCACTGGGGTCGTTAAACATTAAGTCAGTATCTGTGACCAATCAGTCCCAATGAAAAATAGTACAGCTTTGGTGAAAACAGTAGAAAATGTACAAAAGTTAAAACGAATTTGGGCTAAACAAAGAGAAGAACAGCAAACAGAATTCAATACAGAAGCACGGAATACAGTACGACGAACATTATTCATAGAGCAGTCATCTGATTTAGAGAGCAATGATAATATTTTGACCAACTCCAATGAAAACAATCTTAGTTTGGCGGCTTCATATGCGTCTGATAACAATTTGAATAAAAAAACTGTCGGTAACATGCCTGCTAATAGTCAAACACCACCTGCCAAGGAAATCAAAGAACGGGAGCCGGAAGTTAAGTTGGGAGTTGGAGCTGATTGCGGAATCAAAGACGTTTGGGCTCATAATTTAGAAGAGGAGTTTGCTGCAATACGAAAATTGTTGCCCAAGTATTGTTACGTGGCCATGGACACTGAGTTTCCTGGAGTGGTAGCCCGACCTATTGGTGATTTTAAAACGACCGCTGATTATCTGTATCAACTGTTACGGTGCAATGTCGATTTGTTAAGAATCATTCAATTGGGGCTTTCGTTTTTTGATGAAGATGGCAAAACACCGACGGGACCCTATACGACATGGCAATTCAACTTTAAGTTCAATCTATCCGAAGACATGTACGCTCAAGACAGCATTGAACTATTGACAAATTCTAGGTAATCGTAGTCGTGTGCAGTTTAAAAATCAAATAGAAAAAATACTTATATAATATCTATTAATTTTGTTTTGTTTTTTATACAGAATTCAGTTTAAGAAGCACGAGGAGTTTGGAATTGAACCATTAGTTTTTGCCGAATACATAATAACGTCCGGTTTGGTGTTGATCGACAATATCAAATGGATGACATTCCATAGCAGTTTTGATTTCGGTTACCTGGTAAAAGTGCTGACAGACGAGAAGTTGCCGCAAGAAGAGTCTGATTTTTTTGACATGTTCTCGTTGTATTTTCCCTGTGTTTACGATATCAAGTATTTGATGAAAAGTTGCAAGAACCTAAAAGGCGGTCTGCAAGAAGTCGCCGACCAACTAGAGTTGAAACGAATTGGACCACAACATCAAGCCGGCAGTGACTCACTGTTAACGGGCATGGCATTTTTCAAAATAAGAGACATGTACTTTGAAGGGATGATTGATAGTAAAAAATATTGCGGCCATTTGTACGGATTGGGCATTACTACATTGAATAATGGCCAAATACGGTACGATAATAATGACCCTCCACCTAATTGAAAAATATCAGTATCGTAAAATCTATAAAAAAATTAAGTACAATAGAGTTTTTTATTTTTACTGACCTCATTTATTTGGCATCCATTAATTTTATATTGTCTACCAATATTGTGAGTTTTTTAATCTAAGAAAAAAATTATTATTATTTTATCGAGAACTTTTTTTCTTAATATTTGTTTATAAAAACTAAATTCGCCAAATTTGAAATGTATTTTGAAAAAGAAAATATTGGACCTCACTTAGTATAAACACAGATTAGATAAAACTATCTAATTTTATCTAATCTGTGGTATGAATTTGTATGTTAAGGAAATAAAAGAAACATATTGTTTTTTTACGTTGTCAAGTTCATCGTTTATTATCGACTAGTAATATGTCGACTTGTTAATATATCTAACTAGTTAGTAGTTACATACAATTTTTGAATGGGTATAATAAATCAAATTACTTTTTTTAACATTTCCATATTATAGTTAATATTTAATTAAAAAATTCTTAATACATTTTTTTTTTTACTTTTGTCTAATAAATTGATAGTTCTTGCAAAAAAACAAAATAAAAATATTAGTTTAGTATTGATTTATTGAAATATGGAGTCAAAGATAATATATTATGAAAAATGAATACCCCTAGTACTAAAAATATTTTTTTTTAAATAAACCAAAGTACAAAATAAATGTAATTTTGTTGTTTATGGTTGGTGTAAAATTTCAGATGTACAACTTATGTCTTTTTTAATTATTGAGTGAATTATGCATTGACGTAAAGTCCTGATCTGTTTTTTTTTAATTTGTTTACCAGAGTTTAAATTTTAATCATCTTGGACCTTGGTCAAATAATAGATTTTTGTTGTCAAATTAAATTGGCTTGTGAATTTATCCACTGGATTTGCAAAATATAGGGATTAGTTAAGTACTATTGGGAACAATTTAGCAATAGATAAGTGGATTTGTAAAAAAAAGGAGCTTAAAAATGTCAGTAGCCCAAAAGGTAAATGGAAAAATTACCCACGGTAAAAATGACTGGTTGAAAATACCAGAGAAAATAATATCCGAAAAATAGATTAACTATACCTAAACGTAAAGGTATTTGACATATCTAATATAATAGCACAAAAATTATATTATAAATTAAAACAAAAATTATTTCTATTTATATTACTAACAGATATTAATAAAATCGTCTGTAGATTTTTCGCAATTTTTGTATTCAATAATTACTTCACATTTTGCCAGAGCCCACAAGTACCATATTCACACAATATATTTTACTTTATGTGGAAATTCTGACTGTTATATTTAATTTATAAATAAATTAAGTTTTAAATAAAATAATATTTTAGTTTCAATTTAAACAATGAATCTTATTACTATGTCAGTTTATAGTAAATTTTGAAAAAAAAATGTTTACTCATTTCATTTTAATAATATAGTTAAAAGAAAAAAATCTATATTATGAAATCATAAGACAACTTGGAAGAAATGTCACATGGAGTTTTCAATACATTCAGTAAGTTTTGCTTTATATATTTTAATGTTGAATAAAAGGCATTTATAATAGCTATAACTTACAAATAGTGACAGTTTGTTTTTAGAAAACGTTGTAAACTTTAGCTCTAACCTTGAAAAATATATGAAGTATTTTTAGACAGGTACCTAGGTTAAGTTATAGATGTTCACAATCGACTGAACCACTACTCAAGCTTAGACATTTAAGTTTAATATGTATTATTATAAGATCAATAACTCAAAATTAATAAATATAAACAAAATGTTATTGTAAACACATTTTGCGTCGTTCGAAAATATTCAAGTTCAAAGTAAATAATAGAATAAATAAAAAAACATTGTTTTCCACAAAAACTAGTTTTGGTGAGTACATCAATTATATGAATATTATTAAACTGTTGATATTTTAATAATAAATATGTGCATGCATGACGCGAGCAATATATTTTGAGTGGCCATGAGTCATATGAGATCATCGAATAGAGTCTTAATCTTTTTATATAATATGTATATAACATGACTGATGAACAAATTATCATACAGAACAACTTATATATATTATGTACCTATAGTCATAATATGTTATCAGCATATGTGTTACGTTGTTAATTTACTGTGTTATTAATTCTTCATGAGTAATAATAATAGTCATGGTAATATTATAATTAGGTGTATATTATAGTATTTTATTGTTTTTCTTAATAAGATTTAACATAATTATGTTGTTTTGTCATGTGAATAATTAAGATATAGCAAATAAAATCTCGGATGTTTATGATTGAATATTTTTTTTAGTGAAACCAGACTTTAGACTTATATCAGATACGACATATAGTTGATTCACAAAGACTAGATTTAAAATCAGCAAACTTATATTGCATATTTGACATTTTTGAGCATATATTTGCCTACAATGTTTATTTCTAGATTTAGTAACACATTTTTGTTGAAGTATGATTAAGGGGCCTACACCTGTGTATTATGGGTCAAAAACAACTTATTCTACTTCAAAGTACTACTCCTAAGAATACTACGATTTAAGTTTTGAAAAAATATTTGAATACTTCATAACTTTTTTTCAAGGCATCGATTGTGGAATAATTTAAAAATAATTTTTTGTTTAATATTTTAGCTAAAAAAGTTGAAAATTTTAGTTATTTTTACATTGAAATACATTTTAATTAATTAAAAATAATTTTTAAATTGTGCCACGATCGATGCCTTGAAAATGTTATGAAGAATTCAAATGTTTTTTTTTTTTAAAACTTAAATTGAAGTATTCTTAGGTTTGAAGTAGATACATATGTTTTTGTACAAAAATAAATTATACATGCGTTACACAAATTGAAAAAAAAATTAAATATTAGGCAGACCGCAGACAAGTTAATCTTTTCAAGTGGGAGTAACCGAAAAATATGTAAATATTGTAAATTAAATATTAAAATAGTTCCTTTTTTCCTATGGTAATATACATGTTTAAACATTTTAACTTAATGTTAAATTTTAGCTAAAAATTGCCTATACAATGCGCCTTAATAAATGCTCGTGTAGAGGACCCTTAATAAAAAAGTTCCATTTTATTATTGTCTTTAATCGTGTTTACGAATATGAGCTATAGAAAAATATACACGATATGAGAAAAAGTATTAAACGAGAATTCTGGTTACAAACCATTGTCCATAATTTCTAAAATACCTAATCGTCTTTGTTTTTTTAAATATGAAAACACCACCCAAATAATTGTAGGTAATTCAATGTTATCCAATTTTGATTTCATACATTAATGTAAAATACCTTTTTAAAAATAATAACTAACCTAGATTTGAAAACTCGGCTAAAACTTTTAGCCGAATTCAATTAAGGCATATAATTGCATATTTAGACATTTTTAAATGCATATTTTAATATATGTATTTATGGTCGTTAACATCCGAGCTCTAGTTATAGCCATGGGAATTTAATTTCCTAAAGCGGAATTTTACACCCCTATACGTATAACATTGCGATCGCCATTTAAGAAATAAACCTTTCACTGCATAGTCTCTTAGAATGGCTTTCTCTGACTGTATATATATATATATATACACAGACCGGGACGTGTCTGATCGTGACAGTGATAGGGAAATAAAGTATTAAGTAATTAGAGTTATCAGAACGTACAATAATTAGCGTTCAAATAATATTCGATTAAATAGGTGATTAGGTATAAGTAGTAATTAATTATTACACATTAAAATTTAATACTTATGTGCCGGCGGAAATTCGAGCGGATGCCAAACGCATGACGGCATAGATAAATGTGATTGAACAGTGCAAATAAAAAATATATGTTTATATGTATGACTGAGTCGCTGTCAATTTAAAATTAAAATTTATGCATCTATATTAATTTGTATATTATTTGTTCGATAAGTATGTAAGAAAAAAAGACATAATGATTATCTATTTGAATAATTGAGGACATTTTATTATGTATTAATATACAGCGGTACACAATATATGAGAGTTTAAGTGTATCATTTTTGTTTTATTTATAACCTTGTGATTTAATAACCTAATTAAATTAATGAATTCTTCATACTTCGGAGGTCAAAGCAGAATATACTTATATTCACAACTATTTAATAATAACTTTGAATATGCATATTTGAAAAGTACAATAAGGTGAAATAGGTGGCAAACACGATAAGCGTGCGACTGCCACACCTGTTTTAAGGGATAAACAATGGTTGTATTTTTATTAAAATCTATTGTCATTTGTGAGGAAGGGGTTGAGTGTTATAGTTATTTTTAATCAGCAGACTAAACCAAATTCGACTTCGACGCCATTGATAGTAATTTAGTTTAAATTTGATATCAACTCCAATTTGATTATCCGATGATAAAAAAAAATACTATACAATTATTTCACGAGTTTGAAAACCACTTTTGATTTCATACAGGTTTGTTGAAAATGCAATGTTTATACTTTATGTTATTTTAATGTTTTCTACTTATATTAGGGTGTAAATTGAAAATTTCATTATTAAAAAAAAATATTCTAGCTATATCGAAGTCTTGTATAATTTTATTTTTGATGAAAAGGTTATTTTAAAAGTCAATACTGAATGAGAAAGTTTGCTCACAAAATAAAATTTAACAAACATTGTTAAATTGTTTCAATCCGTCCTTTAGTTAAATCTGTGCCATTATGGCGAAAAAGAAATGTTTGTTTTTATATTTTAGAATTTTAATGGTAACATTTTAGAAATAATATTATTATATTTAGCGTGTGACCGAGTTTGCCAAATGTGACTTTTAACTTTTAAAAACGCCACAGAAATGATCTATCATTAATCTATCCAGTATGTTTTATTAAAACAAATATTTTTATGTTGTAAATAATAAGATTAAGACAAACATACAAAATATATGTAGATTTCTATCGCATTGTAATACATTTTAGGTATTATTTATGCCTTTTGGTCATTTTACTTTTTGAAAATAATAATAATTTTTGCTTGACATTATCAAAACACGGTTACAATGTTTATTTTCGATTACTTATTATTTTGTACATCAACAGCAAATGTCTAAAATCTTAGTAACAACATTTGTATGCGAGTAATATATTATGAGATTTAGATGAGGAAAATACTTCTTTTCGTTTTTGGCTCGGTTTGTGAATCACATCTCGTCGTCATCGTTAAAAAAATACAGGTATACCTCATTATAATACATTCAATGACATCATAGACATCTCGGACATTCGCTTATACGTTTGTAGTTCTTGAGACATTAGTCACCTCGACGTTATGACGTATATTATAGAGTGTGTAGTGTAAATAAAAATATTTCAGGGGAGGGCTTTTTGGGTTGCCCCCACCGTTGTATACACATACATTGATACTTCTATACGTGGACAAATCTCAATGGCGATGCCTACACGTTAAATTAGAATGTATACATGTACTTTGGAAGCTTCCTAACGTTATTACACTGAAAATCGAGCCCAAAAACGTTTTAGATATGATGTCATATTGTATTCAGACGTGGGCGAGTCGGTGTCAAGAGCTCCGAGTATAGATATAAATTCTAATATAGGTATCGGCCATCATGCGTTGAGTTGATTTAATAGCTAAATTATGCATATATACTATACAGCTGTTATTATACAGTTTAATCATGGATCATTAGGCGTTTTAGATGTAATTATCAAATGCAAAATGATAATATTTGTTTTCAATTTTTCTAAACTTCAATTTTTTTAAACTCTGTCTGCACACGCCTCGTATGTCATACGAGGACCTTTGAGATACTTGTACAAGATCCTTTGTTTCCAATATCAATAATTTCATGTTCAATATATTATATGATATATGCTTCTCCTTTTGTCAGCATAAGTGAAGGTTTTGCCACGTGCAGAAATCACAAAGTTCCTTCCACCAAGACCCAGGTGTTTACAATACCGTTGAAAGCTCATAGCTGTGGTACTGTTTTAGGTCACCATTGAGTTTTTACTTGTTTCCCAGAAAAATTGATATTCATGACTTTATGGGTTACATGTCCTTCAAGAACTGATTGTATAATATCGCGTTAATTAAAATACCCTAAACAAATTGAAAAATCCCCGTTTGTGGGTCAACCGCATATTTGCGACCTCGTATGTGGGGCCATGCCAGTAAAATAACTTTGCGGGATGGACCCGAGGACATAAATGTTAAATAATTACATAGTCACATAATATAGACCACATTGTGTTTGTTGTATAATTAATTGCAGTTATTAGTTGGATTTTTTTTTATTATTATTTTATAGACATTCGCTGTATCATATAATATAAATCCTATAATTATATCAAAAGTGAATTCAAAACCGTGACTATAATAACCAATTTATAGTAGAATAAAATAACATAAGACTTCAGTTGTTTACTAATTTAGATTAGACTGACGTGTTAGATCAGATACACATATATATTATATAATATACATATATAATATATTAATTTTTTTGTACAGCGAATATTGTTGCTTTGTCATTCCACTCATTTAGTTGTCGTTTCGCGTTTGTCAAATGTTGAGTTTAGTGGAAATTTAATTATCAATTGTCTTATTTGTTATGCTTCAATGTAACGCTATAGTAATATTTCTCGAGTTTAAACTTTATTTTAAAGGGCGGACGGTATTTTCAATATTTTGAGCTGACTTGACTCCTTGTAATTGAAATTTTAAAATGAATAAGTATAATATTAAACATATATAAATATTTGTTTGTACCATTGTTTTATGTAAAATACTAAAATACAATTATAAATTAACAGGGTTAAATATAAAATCAATTTTTTATTAAAAACGCTAAAATTGTAAAATATTCTAAAATAAAAAATTTGAGCAGAATATGTACATTTTATATAATTTTATGCGTACTATTTAAGGATTGGGGTTTGAATTTTTGGGGGTGCTGATTTTGAGTCTGGGGATGCTAAAGTCCCTCTAGCAACCCCCCCCCCTAGTTGCGCTGTATGTACACAATATAGTATGTAATTATTTATTCCGATTTTACTGGTTGTAGCACCGAAACGTAGGGCAAAATTTGCCAATGGCCACTTTACCGTGATATGTGACAATACTTAATTTGATATAAACGGATCTGTCTGGTTTTCGGGTCTCATAGACAATTCGATTTGCCGACAAAAGTATTAATTTCCGGATTTTTTTGAAAACCGCATGAAAACTCCCGGAGCTTAGGTTTTCTCCTAAGGAAGAAATATAATGTGTGGTTATCCTTTAAGGTCCGACCTCTCCGCCGTGCCCACAATGTGTGTCGACCGGCGGCCGTGTTGTTGTTGTTGTTGCTGCTGTCGCATGTGCATATTGTGTTTGTGTGTGTAGATATATACATTATACATTTATATATATTATATAAGTAACGCTACCGACGGCTTAACCGATATTCCGTGCCCGTCGCTGTTGCAGTACACAAGTCTGTTTTGGTGAGTACCTACTATTATAGTATGTATATTTGTTCTATTATTTTCTCACACTCATTCTACATTAAATAAGCTAGAGGAAAACAAAATATAAAAAACGCAATTTTATTTACACATTTTTCGACAAATAAGCATTTAAATATAATATTTTTTAGTTAAACAAAAAGTGTCTTCAATCCTAGTAGGTGAAGATTTTTTTTTCCATTAACGTGCCGGATACTTACATACATTACATTCGATATGCCAGTAATATTATGATTATTAGACATCTATAATATGTATTATTTGATTTTAGATGTATAGTAGTAATTTATAGTTGTACAGTTTTTTTTAAGTATACCTAATTATAGGGTTTGAAAACGCTACCAGGCAAAAATTTACATTATTTTTTTCTAAATACAACCATATAAAAGCATTAGCTAAAATTTTGTCGTGCTCAGAATACTAAAAACCTTAAAACTTAAAATTAGTGCTTTTAAAAATATCTACATATTATTTTTAATAAAAAATTTGTTGAAATAAATGTATATGTGATTAATGCTGTTCAACAGCACTAATATTTTAAGTTTTAAGGTTTTTTTAAAGGTTTATAGTATCTCAGCTCCCCCCCCATAAATTTCCGCCAGTGTAGTACAAACGTTTCGTATCAGAAACAATATTTTATATCGTTCCAAAGGCACAGAATTTTAAAATGTTTTTAATTATTATTACTTTTTTTTTTATAAGGTCAACCCAGTTAGGCCATTAAAATATCATATTATTTATCATATACATATTAGTATGTGCTGTAGCTATAGCAAAGAATGTAAATTTTGGCTTGGTAACGTTTTTAATCTCTGGTTAAGTTAGATGTTGTGATGGTCGCATAGGCGCAATTTCAATTTTTAACTTGGTGGGGGGGGGGGCTGGAAATTTTTTTAAAATATATATATAAGTAAATATATTTTTGTATTTCCAAATTGTATGCATAACCTAATTTTTTTGGGGGGCTAAGCCCACCCTATCCCCCCCCGTATTTGCGCCTATGGATGGTCGCCGAACAGCATACCGTCGTGCGTACGATATTACAATTAATGTTATTAACCGTGACAAAAATAAAAGCTCATCCCAAACCAGAGGGGTCAGAGTTATAATAAAAAATGTATAAACGAAAATGTTTACACAAATGTTTAAAACATGCCGTCTAGTTTCGTCGGGTCGAGTTTTTTTGTGTTTTTAACAATAAGATATCTTTTTTATTTGTGTAATTTATTCACGTTACTGTAACTAAAAATAATTTATCATTTTTTATTTGATTTTGGTAGCTTAATAATATTAAAAGACGATTCGTAATATTAATAATACAAATAGTTAATATTAATTATTATATCAGTGATTAATGGTTAATTTAATAATAATTAATATATTGACTGTTTATAACGACAAGTTTTATTGAATCGCAAATAACTATTCATAATTCATTGGTATTTATTTGTCGACGAGTATGTTGTTGTTCAATAATAATGGTGAACTGTTGTTTTGCTTGACCGCTGATAGTCGTAACCCTGAACGATTATTTTTTATACGTTATTTATTTATTTGTTTGTTAACCGAATTCGAAAACAATATTTACTCAAAGAAGTAGGTAGGTTTGTTTTCGCGAAATTTGCTGATCTTCCACTTTTTTCCCCAACCAAAACCATTTTGTAATGATTTACAATCGTCAGGGTTGTTATGTGTTTATTGTATTATACACAAAAAAGTGATCATATTAAAAAAAAAATATCAATATTCCCCCTCTCCCCCCTATTTGGATTAGAACTTTGCCAGAAATTTGGATGGTTTGACACAAAAATGTTCAACGGAGGCTCGTTCTAGGCAATGTTCTATACAAATTTAAGTACTTGCAATTGTCTTATAACAAATAAGTTGTTATTGGAATAAATCACTAGTGTCCTGGAATGTATTATATGATAGACAGACCATTATTTAGCGCATTGACAAATCTTCGTGACGGTTCCAATAAGTATTGGACCGCGTAGGCCGTTACTATGTCATGCCTGGTGTTTTTTATTTTTCTCCGGTCGTAAATATTTATTTTTATTTTGTTTATGAAAAATAATATCTACACGTTACGAAATAACTCCCAGGAGGAGTGGGCTGCTCCTATACCATATTAATTATTATTATTAAACAGTCTTGAGGATGGCACGCTATACAGGTTTATACAAAATTCATAGGATTCGATTTTCGGGTCAGCGTCTAGTGCTATTGGAAAGAATTTACCACAAGGTTCATATTTCGGGTACACCCTCCTCGTTGGTGATTTACCTAGCACGTTTTCGGATAGCCACCAACCGGTATATAATAATATAGAATCCGAAATAGGATAAACTAGAAAAGCTGTTTTTTTTAATAATGCCTAATTGCGTTGTGACCGACGATTATTGTACACCATTAGACGGGTAATATGTAATTACACATAATAGCGATAATTCTTTATTTAACCTCCCCCACACAGCAATAATATTATTATTTTATATTTTAAAACGGTACAACGTTATCCGGTCTATTAGAACAATAATTGCGCGGTTAATTTGAATAATATAAAAGCCAACGCGATATTCGTTCATTAAATTTCAATTTATTTGTTTCCGTTTGCGGGTACTATATATAAAAAAACCTATATCCGTTCATCGTGTGCCCACACGTGTGTTAACACGACCGTTTTTAGTAATATTCCAACATCTACAGCCGTTCTAGTAAACATTGTTTCACTTTGTCCACTTCTAAACCACTTGAAGTATAGTCTCGTGTGGGTCAGCTCTGACGGTCGGTGGAACATAAGTTTTCACTAAGATTAGAAAAACAAATGATAATAATACTCGTGTAAGACTTTCAGGCGTTTAACCCTTATGTCGTGCGAAAAAATGATGAATTTAAAATCTTTAAAGAACCAATCACCGTGTAGTGGCATTCGAGGTTTTTTTAAAATACAATTTTTTTTTCTAATGTTTTCCGTGTAAGACACATTAATTATTGCTCGGGGAATTTATTTAAATATCGACATTGAACGGCTAGAAACTGTATGTTATGTTTTTACACGTTTTTAAACAGGTTTCCTGTACGATTTTATGTAAATATGTAAATTGTACGATTATTTTTATAGAGTATCCGCTTAAAACTTTTTGTTGTAAACAATAGTGTATTCAAATTATTTCCATAACCCAATGCCGCCAATAACTGTACGATTATTATGGTCATGATATCAATAAGGCCGGTTTCCGTTACTATCTGTGCTTCGGATCATAATGTTATTCGTCGTTGTGTTTTTTTTCTTCAATTTAATTTTGTACTGGCCTAGAGTGCCTGTATAAAATTTCACGATATTATAATTGGCGGCGGATGATGTTCAAACGAAGTGTTCGGTTAATTTTTTTTGGGGGGTATTTTTCCCCCGATCCGTGTGCCGCATCGTTATTTGTTTTAAGCTTAGGTATGGTAAATTAATTTATTAGCCTCTGTTGAAGCGATGACAGTCGACCGTGAATCGTTTGTTTTGTTCGATATCCCATGGTAAAACAATAGCAATAATGTGAACACAAGGTAACAAGTTCGTCCGTGAAAACGTCGGGCACAGCGCAGGTGTTCGGCATTCATTAAATTTACCAAAAAAAACAGTAGAAATAATATATATACTTCCAAATACGTCCATCTAATTATTATACACAGGGACACAGCCGCGTACCTACACGAATTCGTGTAGTACGGTTCCCACGACGGTTTTTGCTATCAAGATGGCACGCTAAGAATATTACCAACCTTAAGGTATTTTTTTTGTTTCAAAAACACACATAGTTGCAATGTGTGTGTGTGTGAATTATCTAGAATAGCCTCGGGTAGAAACGGGAGACCACACCTGGATGTCCTTCGTTTCGAGATGACCCAAATGTCTGTATAGTAACACAGCAACGTCCGCCGCCATTTCCTTTCTCAGAGACTCCGACTAGTCGTTAAACGATTATACCTGAAAACGTATAATAAAAAAAAAAATTACACAATTTAATAATAATAATAATTGACCGTCGCGCACATATTAAACAGTTTTGGAATAAGAGTTGACGGGGGCGGCGGCGGTAATTTTGGAAGTAATACAAATCTCTACCTATGCCGTTTTATTGTACCTAGACTTTTACTAGGTATACATGTATAATTATTAACGATGATCTAATCTGTATGTATCACGAAGGTCACAAAAAAAAAATAAAAATGTTGTTCCACTCCCTTTTTGAGGCCCGCCGTCGCCTACACGGACGTGACCTGGTGTAGGTCCTCCTCCTAGACACAAAGTGTCTTAATAAATAATACTAATATGTTGTGTAAAAAAAAAGAAAATATATTCTAATATTTTGTTTATTAATTTGTTTGATTACAGACTAAACAATTTCCGTTACTCAAGCAAAACCTCAACAGCCTTAAAAATGGCAATCACAAAAATCACCATGATCAAGTTTCTGGAAGTGGTAAGTACACCCGACCACTATTATAAACGGGAAATGAGGTTTGGGTATTCAATTGACTGCAGTTGATAAACGAGCACTGGCGTTATAGGGAAATAAAAATAATATGTGGGCATCAATACAACAAGTTCAAAGTTTTTATACAATCATAAATAATTATAATGTACCTGTAGATTTACTTCTCCATTGTCGTTACACATTGCATTTATAACAATAGCAATAAGTATTATTTATTTAGGCCAATCGACCGGCCTATAATAATAGATCGAGACTTTTGATACTTATTGCCCATCTCTGATTGCTCGCGTTCAATAAGTACAAGTAAATGGCAGGTAGAGGGGCGAGCGAGGAAGTCAAAATAAAATAGTTGGTTAGACACCGGTGATCGCTAAAGCAGAAAAAATAAAAAAAAGCTTTTTATTTTTAGAATATATAATTTATTACGATGGCGCGCGATTCTTGCTCGACAAAGCTTTTAAACACTTGAATAACGTGCTCGAGTTCCATTAATATTGTCTCTTACTACCAACAAAACGCGCGGGTAGACACATTCCATTTTTTTTTCTATTCTTACAGAACTATTACCATCGTGTACAATATTTTACTATTATCCTATAGCCGACACACTAGTGCCTCGTATCCCGAATAACGAATTATATACATAGGTACAATGTAAATATTTTACTATATTATTATGATCGCATAACAATAATACATATACATTTTTATATTATTATGCGCCCCGCTCCCACAGCGGCACAATAACCCACGCTAATGACCCAGCTAGTGGCAGTGATGGATGTACACGTATGAACGGTAAAACTATAAAAGCAGCCGGTAGTCGGCACTGGCGTGCAAAGTAATTTTTGACCCATTTGTTCTTTTGCTGCCCGCACAGAATGCTCTCTTATCGACTGTACATGATCTTAACGAGCTCGCGTGTCGCAAAAGTTCTGGCCATTTACGGTCTAGCTTTATTGCACAGAATACGATACTATTATATTTACAAACAAAGCGTGCCCAAAATCGTCCTCAATAAAGCTGTACCCGGTAACATGTCTCTATATTGAATATGCAAGCATTGTACAATATTTCTTTTTGGTCCTTCGCACCGGATCGCCGGCCCATCATGACGTCATCGTATACAATTATTGCAATAATACCGTACGGTTTTGGCAGTTGTGTTGTCATCCAAACAAAGGGGCTAACATGTTTATCGTTGACGATTTTTCGTCATCGTGGATAGGAGGAATAAGTCGTGGGAATGCGTCACTCGACGACAGTTGTTGTCTTATGAATTATGTGCCATCGCCTAGATTATTATATAATACAGAAGCGCGTGACTTGTTGCTGTGTTCATAACGTCATATCTCAAAAACGGCAATTAGCGGTTATTTATTGTACTTGAAGAATTTGGACGCGTCTCCGGTCATCCGTCGGACGAATCGATTATCACATCCGTACAGTGTTGTTCAAGTCACAGGCGCGAGTAGATAGCTGATTTGCGGGGTTTTAACTGTCAAGACTTATGTTTAATATTGTTTAAAATAGAAAATTTTGTCGACCTCGGACCTCTGAAAAGATCATTCACAAGTTGGATCGCCAATTAAGAAACGTTTAGCAAAAGCAAGCAGCTGCCAGCTAACCTACCATTTTAAACGTTACAGTTCATTCCTAATATCTCTCAATACACATAGCTAGGACATCTAATGCTTTTCGCGGTAACTAATACATTTTCAATGAGAGGAACTATCGAGCCGGTAAAAAATTCAGAAGGATTTTTATGTCGAATGGAGCTAGAAAAGGTTTAATAAGTTCGTGTACCCCTGGCACCTTTCTAGATGTAGCCAGATGTTGTTTGTGTACAAAGCAGGTTTTTATTAGTGAACTTATTATATGAACAAACCCAATGGCCGATAATGAATGGCGAATTTTAGGTCGTATAGAGGACGAGTGGTTTTTCATCGTTTCGCATTAATCAAGCTCGAGTAGAAAGAAAAGCGGCCAGACAAAAACATTTGATATTTTTAGTAGAATCTATTTTTTTCACGCATCGTCAGCCGCCATTGAACGAGTTATTAAATATTATGCGTTCAACGGGAGAAAAACACTGACCGTTCCAAAAAAATAAAATTGCAGATACGGTCACTCGTCGCAGGTCTTTATTTTTAAATTTATCGTTTTTTTTTCAGCGCGTGCGCATGTGTGTTTCTATAAGTACTATAGTCGTGGTCGGTCGACAGGACTACCGCGTAAACAACTCGGTGGTTCTTATATTACATCCGACGACAAAGAACTTCAAAGAATTACTTGTTGTTTTCCGTACTCGAAACGACGCACTAAATTCTTTACACCAAGCACATGTGTGGTTGCTGTAACATGTTATAAATATACAGATCAGATTATGTCCAATGTAGTCTTTAATATTTTGTTGGATCCTTTTTTAATTTTGAACTCGACGCAGGACCCTCGGTGAGTTGCGCCCAGTTTTTTTTAATAAATTATGACCCGACATACTTATGCGAGACGAGTTCCAGACTACCGTGTATATACCGTATATTTTTACTATAATTGTTTTGTTTTTGTCTCGGATATTATGAAACGAAAATAACCGTTTTGAGAGATGCTAGGCACACGTGCGAGCTACCGGCTGCTGTTTCGCCAGAAGCAGTGGAGCCACCCACATAATATGTAACGAGTATGTTTAATAATAGATATGTGGTCGGGCGACACACTCATGACCCATATGGTTTTGGCGGTAAAACATCATCATCCGAGGCCCGAAGAAGAATATTAATTATCGTATAATAAATATAAGTGCTCGTGTGTGTTTTTCATTATATTCCACTTTACATCATCCGCCCGTGCGTGTCGGATATGATAATGCAACGTCGTCTGAGACCGAACGAGGAGACGTCCTCCCTCGAAGGGGCCTCGAAACGTGAAAGTATTATAAAATAAACAGTCGCCTCATCAAAAAAAAAAAACAAAACAAAAGTATAATAAAATCTTTTCACGCCAGCCCGCGCTGACACGATTTTTATATTTACAAAAACAACGATCGACTTTAATTATTTTAATTACATATTGCAATTGCGTTTCAATAGTGTTTTAACCTAAACCACGAAAGGGTTCAACGGTCATAGCGAACTGGGTTAACAGCGGACGTCCACGAAATCAAACAATTAACATCTGCCGTTCAACTGATTAGCTAGAGTGCGCGTACGATGAAACCTATTAGGTATGTTAGTCTTTTATAAAATATGTATATTAAACATATATGTGGTCCTTCTCTTAGATTTTGTGATTGAGCCGTTAACGACCGGGGCACATAACTCGTGGATGTTTCATTTATTCACAGCTCTTGATATGTTATTTCAATACAACTTCTCAAGGTTATCTCGTAGGAATTTTTCTTTTTTAATATTGATTTTTACAATGTCGATCATAACCGTTGTTATTTGTCGTTTTATCAACAAGCCGGTGAGTCATCGAGCTGTTGTTAATCAACGTTACTACTTCGAACGAAACATGGCTCGGCTGCAACAGTTGTGCGTAGAGCCAACTGAGACCGCCGCTAATTAGTTTGAAATATTGCTGATGGATTAAAGACAACCGTGGATACGGCCGCTAAAAGCCGCATAACCTCGCCTTGAACGCAGTTAAGTTCAAACAACCAAAACCTGCGGCAACGACGCTGTGAAAGTATATATTTTCTTTCTGTATTTAAAAATCAGCAATATTATATAATTCGCCCCGTATCTCGGTGGATCTCGTGTGAGTGGCACTGTTGGTCTATCGCGGAGGCTCTTGTGTATAATACATTATTATGATTATATATTCCTACCCTAACACGAGTCTGTAGGTACATCGCCATTTAGCAACTGGGCTTAATTATTTTTTTTCATCCGCCGCTCCAGGTTATCCGGGCCGTGGTAGTACTAGTAGTAGTAGTAGTACCTGGTAGTAGTGGTAGTAGTGGTATACCTGCTAGGCGTGTAAGACCGTTTTGTTTACCAACAAGGTGTTTTATTATTGTTATTCATGTGGATCCGGGTATTCAAGGTCAAAGCGATGACTCACATAGGTCGTCGCGGCTGTGTGAAAAAAACGAATAAAAAATTCCCCGTTGGCCGCCACCGCTTTTTACCGACAAAAAAAAAAATTATTACTAATTATTGCATTGCGTTCGCTATGATTTCCGTTCAGCGCGTCCTCTGTATAATACGTACCTATCAGACAAAGCTAGACGTTTGCAAACAATTATAATATACATATAATATTATTATTAAGCTACATGATGATGATTATTATGTCATCAATCGAAAATCTATAACCACACGACCGCAATCCAAACGTGGAAACGGCCACGGTCACTCGGATTTCGGCGCTTTGATTTTTTTATCGACCCGTCGAATGTCATACCATATCCTATCCTACACACAATAATAATACACGACTACATTATTATTATTATTCGCCAGCGTGTTAAGGTTTTTTTTCTTGTGAAAGCCGCTCGACGCCAATATCAAATGGAGCCTGTGTAAGATCCTTGACACTATTTGATATAATATTGTTGTTTATACAATTTGCTCACAAGAGTGTATTTATACGTTTTTGTCGCATATTCGCGTTTAATGAACTCTCCAGTGTTGCACACTGCACACACGAGCTTTAACAACGGCATTTCGCATTGCTGATGGAATAGCTTATTTATGGCCATTCGACGACGTTGACCACTTTCAACGCCTATTTCGGCTAATCGTTCCAATAGATTTCTCTTTATCCGAAGAAATTTTGCTGATCTATTTATTTTCACTATGCATCTATAACGTCGGGCAACGCTTTCTCGGCGTGTAAAAAAAATACCTAACTGTGATTCGCAAATTTTTAGAATTTGTGCAGGGCGTGATCGCGCAAACCGCGCCATTAAACGCGGAATAAATTAGCCGTCGTTTTTTTACATTATTACTGATTACATGTTGTATTTATATTATGTACATTGCTATTCCATAGAACTTTGCATGTATTTTTCGCCGAGAACTATAAAAAAACGTTCACTTTGGTCCGTCGGGTTGGCGACCTTTGGCCGAGCTAGTCACGCTATGTAGCTGAACCGAACATAATAATTATAGAAACACTTGTATATCGATTTTTAATGATGTAAAAACAACCCTTTAATGTGTGTTTTTTTTTCAGGCTTTGGTGGTCATCATTTTCGCCCTGCATTACAACAGTTTCCCGGGCGGCGATGTCACCTCCATCATGATCACCACTGGAACGTATGTCGGCTACGTCATCATCTTGGCGGGTATCTTCATCGGTCTGTTCACCGGCACCCCGATCAGCGCACGATTGGTAAGCGATGAGGATCGACAGATATATATTACCTAAACCCGTTGATCTATGCACCCGATAAATCCTTAAAACGATCGAGATCGAGAAAAGTGCAACGGCGCAAAAGTAAAATCGTCGTCACAAACGCCAGTTCTTATTCGACGCGATAACTGTCATTAGACTTGTTAAATTTGTTAACATAATTCTCATTGATTATGTGCCGGCATACTTAAATTATTATTCTAGACCGCCTGTAACTCTGAAGAATCACCCATCTTGCTGGTGTAGTCGAACAATTACGTACAATCTCTAATATCTCGCCACACACGCGCAGTGTTTGCATATATTTTCTAATGCATAATATTTTCAATCACTTTGGGTGGAGTTTTTGTGTTTTTTATTGTCAACAACGTTACCTATATAAAACTCATAATGAAGATATTTTAATAATAATAAAGCTATATTATGGTCGTACCGTAATAACAATGTGTGTATACGTGTACCGCATTGTTTGCGAGAGTTCATCGGTCTAGGAACCATCTTAAAAACTATAAGCTCAGGAATTTGTACAGACCAGAGTATCGGGCCAATATTGTTATTATAGTTTGTGCATTATCCTGGCACTCGAGGTCGGAATATCAAGATGATTGTTTTATGAAAATCAAATAGAGCCTTATGCCATATAGGAAAATAACACTTATGGCTCGTGCTAGACACAGTATAGGTACAGCGTGAATGGTGTACGGCTAAGGTCACTAGGTCCTAGGTCAAACGTGGGTCGATAACTACAAAATTTGAGGAGTGTTTACTTGATTAGGTTAACACTTGGTAGCGCACAGATCCGCGAGGTGTAAGAAACCGCGAAGTTGCCATTTTCTCGTTCTCTGGTCTTTTTAATTTTTATATAAACTTGATTTATCTATCGTGACCGTTCATTTGCAGGACATGTTCTACGTGTTGATCGGCGCTGCCCTTTACATCGCCGCCGGTGTTATGTCCTACAACTATTTCAACAATCAACTGGTGAAAACGTCTTACGTCAACACCGGTATGACCAAAGCTTGGTTGTCCATCCTTAACGGAGTCGTGTTCGTCGTCGACGCCGCCTTCACGTACCGCGGAGAATAAGTCCTCAAGTTTTTTTTAAATGTTTAATATACATGTAACGAGCCTTTAGGAGGTTATTATTTATTGTCCATCGAGAGAAGTCACCAAAATATCTTTTATTTTTCTATCATATTATTTGTATTCTATCTTTTTTTTTTTATCACTTTTTTGCGTGCATCGTTACGTTATTATATACTTTAAGCAGCCCCTCAAACTTTGCATCTTCGCAGCTGTTTTCTTATTGTATTCGTTTGTTTGCCACCACAACGGAAAACTGTAAATATAAATTATTATAATTTTTGATACAATCTGTAAAACATAACATTACTCCCGTGTACCTGTTTGTATATTTTAATTTTTTTTTTTGCTAAACAAAATATATATTACAAGCATTTTCTTTTTTTTTCTATGTTAAGGGGGCTCCATACAGACCATTTTTAAGGAGTTTTGTATAGGCAATATTTAAGAAAAAATTGGCCTAAATAAATTTCGACCATGTCAATAAATTTACCTGTTAATTTGTATAAGCTTCATGGTATTATTTTTAATTTAAATCATTTTGTCTATGAGTAAAAGCTATTTTAGTAAATATAATATACATTTTTTGTTCCATCGCACAGGCACAACCAGTGATCCGATAAGTAATATAAAAACAGATTTGAATTCGTCATGAAATTTACTTGATGTATTAAACACGTTTGGACATTTTATAAAATATCAACATTTTAAAATAAAATTCAGAAAGGGTTAAAATAAAAAGTTGAAACAAGTACCTCGACCGATCCTAAGTAAACTTGACGAATTCGAATCTGTTTTTATATTGTTTATCGGTTCACTGGATTGGGCCTGTGCGATAAAATGAAAATTATGTGTTTTTACTGAAAAAATGGTCTGTATGGAGCCCCCTTAAGACTATTTTTCGTATTTTATATTTATTTATATTTATATAAAAAAAAAAAAACTATAAAATATTTCTATATTACATTATTTTTACAGTGAAGCTTAGTAAAGAAATATGTACTTGTAGCTTGTACATTATTATTATAGTTAGCTTATGGAAAATATGTTTTTTTATAAGTGAACTACACCTTCATTTATTTCACAACATTCATCGTTTAAGAACGCACTCAAATAACGGATGTTATGATCAATTGTATTGCAAATAAAGTACACTATAACAGCTTTATATAATAATACTGTATTTTTTCTTTTAAACATTATTTTGTTAAGAGGACGCTACCCACCCGTAATTTATCCACGAAAAATGGTTTAACGGGGGACAAGAATGTGAGGGCGGTATTTAGATTAGCTTTATACAAATTTTACAATGGATAGAGAAGGACTTTATCTACGGGGTAGCGTTTTTAGTTTTTTGATAACTTAAGCACAATCAAAATTATTCATTCGTAAATATTCATTATATTTTCCTTTTTTAATTTGTTTTTAAAAAAATATTAAGTATAGATACAAAAAAAATTAAAATGCTACCCCATGGATAAAGTTTTTCTTTATACAGTGTATAAATTTGGTAAATGTACTGTTAATACTGGCCTTTCATATACATGTTTTGCGCAATGGAGTATTGATGGGAAAACAATAATTGTAATTTATCCTATAGAAATAACTGTGATAATCTGACAAACAAATGGCAATCGTCAAAGTATCAAAAAGTATACATTATAGTTCAAACTCTAATTTAAGATTTTTCGAAAAAAAAAAAAAAAATAATCGTATGGCGTATTTGGCCGGGAGGGCTATAGCTAACTTATATGCCAGTTCGGTTAGGTTAGGTTAAAATATGGTAAAGTATGGTCTAAAATAAGCCAAAATGACTTTTACTTATACAAAAACTATATAAATTTAAAACAATACCTTGAAGCTTATACAAATGAACCGGAAAATTAATTAACATGGTCGAAATTTATTAAAACCACTTTTTTCTTTAATATTGCCTATACAAAACTCCTTAAAAATCCCTTTAATGATTTAACTACCCAGACGCCAGAATGTGTCATTGTCCATGGTTAACGGCAATGGCAGATCAGTATACAAAGTAGTGACCGTGTGTATCATTCTTATTAACTAGCAGTTGTTGTACATTTTAGATACAGCTCTTTTTAAAATTGATCTACAATTATGTAATATTTGTATGATTACAGGATACATTTAATTAAAATATAAGTTAAAACTAGTTATGCTATATTCACGTAGGCCCTAAGGCATTTGGACGCCGTCGGCCAAAATTTTCAAAACATTCTTATAAATAAAACGTGTTAGCACCTCCGTCCAATACTGGTTATACCTCTAAAATTCTTAAACAATACAAATGCTACTGGATACATTAATTTCATAAAATAGACTACCTGTGTATGTTTTTATAGTACTAGCCTTAGCCTAGTTACTGGCAATAGCTTGAAGTCTTGTGTTTTCTCCTAAGCCCTAAGCGCAGCGCCTAATATAGTAATATGCCTATTGGTTTATTCGACCATGATATGTATTAGTTTCAATACAATCGTTTGCCAATTGTTTCATTCGATAAACGATTAATTGTGTTATGGTTGTCTTATCACTTCTGAATTAACTATAATAAAAACATTTATACAACTGTGGTTGTTACTTGTTTAACATGTGTTAACGATGGTTCTAACTCAGTACTATAGGCGTTGATTTATGGTGAACTTTTGGTTTTTAGTAGATGACCATTTCAGACATTCGGCAACAAATTAAAAAAATTGCCAGACGTCTTCGTAGGGTACCGTGACAAAATAACAATAAGACAAAATTGTCTTATTGCCATTGATATTAATTAGTCCCAAGGGTATAAGATAACGATTTTTATAGACACCCGGAGGAGGTTAAGTTAAACAGAATAGACAGTTTTGACAACATGTTCAAGTTAATTGTTGACTTGTACGGTAATGGTTTTACATTGCGATAATTGGTTTTTTGGACCAGAAATCGTGTGTCTTAAATCTTATACAAATAAGACGTTTTTTCAAGTTTAACGCCATAGTTGACAAGTTTTTTTTTAAATGATATGCTTCTAACGATGAGTAACATTTTTCACCGACTTTTTTGTTGTCGAGCAAATTTGTTTACCAAAAAAACCACACTTAATACCAAATAAAATGAAGTAAAAAGACCAGAGTCAATTTTTTAGAAAATATTTTTTTTTTGGGAGAGTAGGCATACATTATATATATATGACTTTAAATTATTATATGACTTATGTTTCATCCGTTTTTCAAATTTTGTATATTTTTTTTGAAAAACATATGAGCAAAAATTGAATCTGAATCTGAAGCAAACACAACACACGTATTCGGCGTAAACAGCATGTGTTTTTTTACGCTTTATCGGTAAACAACTCAATGAACGAACGTTTTGCACATCAAATTTTTATCTTTGCATGATGGCAAATTCACCGTAAAATTTATCGATGAAATAAAATTTTACGACTTACAATCCATAACTTATATTTGACGTAATTTAGTTTGGGTTGATTTAGGTAAATTGAGCTGAATACCAACACTAATTCAAACCAACTCTAAGTTAACTTTTTGTTTCAATGCGAAACTAAGTACCTATTGGGTTTGGGTTTAACCTAGGAATCCGACACAAGAAAACAAAAAATCCGTTTTTACAATATTATATTAAAATATTTAAAAGTCTATGGATGCAATTGTTCTAATCGTACAAGTTATAAAAATAGCAATACTTTTTATATAGACTTACAATGTTTTGACCACTTATTCAGTCCACATTGTCTTTTACCCAACACTCATTTTCATGAACAATTACCTTTTTTTTCACTTTAGACGTGTTACAATGTTGCCCTTTCCACCTCATGCCACCACACCTGTGATGTTGGGTCTTATTGTGGTGGTGTACTTTTAACTACATAGTACATGGTTTCATTTCATAATTTTTGACACAGTTTTTTTTTTGTTGAAGTAGCGAATTTAAAGAACTGATACTTTGACCTACAAAACGTATAATATCTCACATCTGAATATATATATCCAGTGTGTGACCATGTATATTATGTAGGTATATAATTAAAAGTATGTGCGTTCAACTTTTTCCTTGCTATAATTGTATCGCTTTATTTTGACATTTTTGAAGTAATTTAGTGATTATTTTTTTTAGTCAAGTAGAATTTAATCGCCATAAAACGTATACACGTATAATAGATCTTAACATACTAAGCTTATATAATGACATGAAATTAAAAAATAAAACCTTTAGTATGAAGGCGAATTTGCGTTTTAAAATAAAATGACATCATAAAAATGTACAACAAAAGTGTACCAAATGCGTTCGTTAAATTCAGTCTAGTCACTCTAAAATTCGTGCCCGGCTTTTATCGTAGAAAGTGATCATCATTCGAAAAATTGTGTAAAAAAGTTATTTGGTCTATACGACATTAATTCGTTGTCCTTCAGTATAGCTAACAAAAATATGGATAGATATTTTTCAAATTGGGAACATATGTTTTTAATTCTATAGATATGTAGACAAAAATTCCATTAATCAGTTCGTTTACTATTACTTAGTAAATATTTTCATTATTCTTCAAAGAATACAATATTCTTATGTAATTACTAAGACTAGTAGCCGTCACTGTGTTTGAATAGGTAGATAAGAACCGCTCGTCTATTATTATCTCAAAGTAGGTAGGTAAAGAATGGCTTATGCATCTAACATAAGTACTATTTGCAATAATAGTTGATGTTTTTTAAAATAATTCTTTCACAAATTTCTTATCTTAGGAGGAAATAAAATATAAAATATCGACTCGAGTGGGCCACATGATTGTAAAAAAAAAAATTGGTAACTAATTTGCAAACGCAACTGTTTTTTTTTAATAAAATAATTGACAGTTTTTATTGAGAGCTTTGGTTATGATAGAATATTAATTTATTACACATCTAAATAAACTAAAAATATTGCATATTAATATAATGCATATTGCATATAATTGCCCTATTAGTTATGAACGTAATAACTGTAATAAGTACAATTTCATTAACATTAAAAAAAACCTACTCTAAAAAATACTACAACTAATTTTGAGTTGGTTAGTACACATAAATTTCTTTAAAAATGGCTAAAAATTATATCAAAATTCTTGAGTGTCCTCATTACTGCTTGTTCTTTTTAACGATTTCTCTCTTGTTTACTTTTAAAACATTTTAACAGAAGTTGCAAATTAGAGCAGCCGACGACTGCAATATTCAATATAATTTAAGTGAATTTACCAAGATTTTTAGAATTGGCGTACATTTTTTATTAGAAAAATTAATTAAGAAGAGTTCATCTTTATATTTAATAATTTTCATAGGCACTTTTCGATAAAAGTAATTCATTATTATTTTTCCCTGTACCCTTCATATAACTTTAGATGTGTCACATTCTTGTAAGTACCCCATTACACCAACCAGACAAAGTGGTGGAAAGTAAGGCGTTAATAATTGAATCTGATTGGTATCTGTCATAAATTTTATTTTTCTTAAGGGGCCTCTACACCAGCATTAATCAAGGCGGATTGTATAGGCAATTTTTCACTAAAACTTAACATTAAGCTAAACTGTTTAAACCTATATAATACCATATGTTACTACTTCTAACGTAATGTTCCTAAGAATACTTTGATTTAAGTTTTGAAAAAACATTTGAATTCTTTATAAAATTGTATTATTTATGATTCAATCATGGTACAATTTTAAAATTATTTTTAGTTAATTAATTATTTCATTGTAAAAAACTGCAGATCTTAACTTTTTTAAACTAATATAATTAATTAACAAAAAATAATTTTAAAATAATGCCGCGATCGATGCCTTGAAATTATTATAAAGAATAGGAAAAGTACACGTTAGATGTAGAATAAGTTGTTGTCGATCAAAAATACACAGGTGTAGAGGCCCCT